TTCTTCTTAAAATCTTTAAGTTAAAAAATTAAGTTATTAGATTAGTTGGCAATATTGTTTATAAAAATTGCAACAATTTATAATATTTTATAAGAAAATCAAAAGAAAAAGAGTATTAAATGTCGAAAAAAAAATTATTAAAAAATATCTAGAGTCATTCTTCGTGAAATGTTCCAATTAAAAAATTAAAAGTTATTAAAATGCTTTGAAAATTTGTTAAATTGTTGTCCTATATGATAATAACAAATTTGTTAAATATTAACTCTTAAAAAAAAAATTTTAGATAGTGGAGGTTGAAATTGAGAGAAAAATGGAAAACAAAAATAAAATAACTTTTACTACTTTTGTAGTAAATAAAAAACTTCCCGGAATTTCTGTCAACTTTTGCTCCATAAATAGTAAAAACTACTATTTCTGGAGTAAACTTTACTATTTCAGTAGTAATTTTTTCTATTTTCGGAGCAAAAGTTGCCAAAAGATGCGCAGAAGTTCCAGACAGTTTAGGTTTTACTTTGTAAATAGTAAAACTTTATATTTTTTTCCGCGTAAAAATAAAATATATAATTTTGAGGTTAAGTAGGTTTTGTTTAACCCTTAACTGGTACCATGGGTCCAGTAGACCCGAGCATTTTTTCGAGCTCAAATTAATTGAATGTGTAGCTTTTAAATATTTTTTATATTTTAATATATATTAGTTTGACATATTCTTAGTAATTTTCTAAGTTTTTTGATACCACTAATTCAATAAAAAAGAATAAATTAACTTCAAACATTAATAATTACAAATTTTTAATTTTAACCTAAAAAGGCACATTTTATTCTGCAAAATAAATACCTTTTTTGCAAATTCTGCTGTTGTGGTAATTTTTTCCTTAAAGAATAATACATCATAACCTTAAATTTTGAAGTCATAATATTAAAATTTAAATAACTCATGAATTTTTAAGTAAAAAAAAAAGTTTTTATTTTTCACAATTTTTTTAAACTAAATTAAAATAAATTAATCCCTGTAAAACTAATTACATTTTTAAAAAACACATAAGCTACCTCAAATTAAATTTTTGTGCAAAAATATTCAATACTTGCTGTACAATACACGTTTGAATACGTCGGGTCCAGCAGACCCGTAGTGCCATTTTTGTTCGAACGCGGAATTGTGCCAGTTAAGGGTTAAATTTTTTTTTGTCATTGAAAATCACGAAAATCACTTTTATATATAAAAATTAAAATTGATAAATTTTTGGATGGATTTAATAATGACAGTGTCACTTAAAACATAAAAACTTCAAAATTTCGAGAATTTTTTTCCTAATTGTGCACGGAAAAAATATGAAGTAACTTTTGCTATTTATAAAGTAAAACCTAAACTTTTCGGAATTTCTGCGCATCTATGGTAACTTTTACTCCGAAAATAGTAAAATTTACTCCTATAGTAACAACTATTTTGGAAATATAGTAAATTTTACTGTTTTTAAAGTAATAATTGCCAAAAATACGCAAAAACTTCGAAAAGTTTAATTTTTACTTTTAAAATAGTAAAAGTTACTTTAGTCGTTTTTCCATTTTTCTCCGTGTGCTAATATTTTATAAATTTTTATCATCATTATTGTTACGTCTCAAATAGAGAAATAACTAAAGAAATAATATTTTATTTTATTTGTGGCCGCTCGGTGATTCAGTGAATTCCTGTTTCATTTACACAGCAGAAGGCTCTGAGCTAAGGGTACAGGAAAGAAAGAGAATAGTGATTTTTAATGACAAGGTTACAAATTTATTTAGACAAACATTTAGAGTTATAAAATTGATCTTTGAGAGAGAGGGTATCCTGAAGCAACCATTCTTGAAATAAGGGGAAATCAGCATTCCACTGCAACAAGGAATGTAAAGGTTACTACAAATTTTTATAAGGAATTAGGAAGGATTTAGATAAAAAGTATTACAACTTACCTTGAAAATTTAGATGTAAGATGTATGAAAAAGGACCACTGTTGTGTCCTAATTATGATAGGAACTTCTGGTACCAGATATAGTTTGAGAGCTCACAGGAAGGTTGACGGGCCTTGGTGATGACCACAGGTCCGGAGTTCAGTTGATTGAATCAGCTCTTCTTGACGTAGAAACTTTTAACACTTGACACAGAGATTCTTCTAAGTCGAACTTGAGTATGAAATCGAGCAGAGTAACAACGCTTGTACTAGATTTCGTATGTGAACTGGTACCAAATATGAAGTAGAAGTAACTTGTATGATGAAAAGTTCTGAACTGGTAGATGTTATACGTATGAAGATGATTTGAGAACTAGTAGATGTTATACGTATGAAGATGTTTTGAGAACTAGTAGATGTTATACGTATGAAGATGTTTTGAGAACTGATCTCTCCATGAAAATGTAGTCCTTTTATACTGAGTTTTCGTAAGAGAATAGATAAATTTTATTAGTCGTACTATATATTTTTCGCCCTTATTTTGGAAGCCAAGTTGAGTCCTTCTCTCTCAGTTGAACGTAAAAAGGGGGGTGTGAACCATTCTAATACAAGATAGAAAGAGCACGACTACGGTTATTCGCAGCTGTACAAGAGCGTTTATGGTCTTCTAATGTGGTGATACCACAGGGGTTCGTCGCATAGGAAAATTGGAAAGAGAGCATTTATTACATCGTCTGATTTTAGTACATAGGGAAAATTAGAAAGAGATCATTTTGTTTTGTGGGAGTGTGAGCTCTTCTAGTGTCATAAAAGATTTTTCGCTTCTATTTGTATGTTTTAGAAATACAGTATACAGACGTAGAAGGATACAAAACGCAGGGGTCTTTTTATATATAAAAGAAAGATGTTTAGTTGCGCAACAAAAGGGCGGAAATTGAACATTTAAGAGAAAAGTATTTAGATGCGTATCAAAAACACGGGTGTTTGTCGCAGAGACATACAATTCGGTATTGATTAAAAGAATTCTTATAATTATAAATGTAAAAGTTACGGTGACGTGACATTATATATAGAATAACAATTTTAAAAAATTGCAAACCAATCCAATAAGTTTCAATTTTTGACTGATAAATTTTTAGAAAAAAATCACAGAAAATTAAAAGGCATTAAAATAAGCTGCAACGCTTATTATTTTAATCCAATTTTGCTTATTTTAATCCATTTTGGTATTAAAATAAGCAAAATTTGATTAAAATAATAAGTGTTGCAGCTTATTTTAATACCTTATAATTTTCTGTGATATCTATTAATAAAAAAATATAGTTCTCTCATTTTAAATAAAACGAAAAATTGACCTTGAAATGAAATTTATTATCTGAAAGGTCAAAAAGTTTCAAAGTCATTGTCCATCAGCGCGCAAAGGAAATATGTATCGGATTTAATGATGCGCATTATAATAGTGAATTATTTTTCTCTCTCTTTCTTTTAAAAAATTTCAAACTCTATATTATATTGTGCGGTGATTTTCAAATATAAGGTCAGTCATGTGGAAAAAATTTCATGTGGAAATGGTATGATGATTGACAAAAATTTCAGATTAAATTCAAGCATATCTAGGCAAATACAAATAAACAATGACAGTGAATGAAAAAAGAATCGAATGGGAGTGACTTGAAATCAATGGCTGATTACTGCACCGTGACCGTCACACAGTAGAGGTTCTGGGTCATCGATAGCCCACATTTGGAGTTGGTTCTACAACTTCTTTTCCATAAGACCTTCGTCATTATACTTATATATACACTAGAAACTAGTTTATATATATATATATATATATATATATATATATATATATATATATATATATATATGTTTTATTCTGGGTTGATCTTCATTGGAAAATCACATTCAATATATTATGAATTATTCTAGAAAAATAATTAGGGCACATAATTTATTTACATTATTATATTAAGTTGATTTTATGAAACTTTCATTTAATAGTTTTGTGTAATTTAAATTATCGTGATGAATTTATATTTAAATATTTATTGATATTATAATATTATAAGAATATGTTTATTGATATTATTATTATTATTATTTTAATTATTATTAATAATTAATATTACAATTTTTATTAGGTGTACTATTATTTATTATTTTTTATTTTACGAAGGAATTGGAAAATCTTCATAACCCTTAGTATTCTTTATTATTATTATTTGTGACGTGCTCTGCAGAAAGTGACCTAAATGATGCAAAAAATTTGAGGTTATGTTTATAAAGTTTGGAGTGAAAATACACAAAGAGGATCAACTTTCATTAAAAAGCATTAAACATTGAAAATCATCAATAAAAACTGATTTTGATTTTATATAATTAAAAAGAAACTTACAATCAAGGTAAAGCTATACCCAGATAGCACGTAAACTTTCAGCAACCTTGCGGCAAGCTTGCCGCGCAATATTGCCAACCTTGCACTGTAAGCTTCAAATGTCCCACCTGATCCAAGTTTGCATGGTAAGCTTACCGAAAGATTGCAGAGTAAGGTTGCTGCAAGATTGCAGTGTCAGGTTACTGCAATATTGCACAATAAGATTATCAAAAAATTGCTCAGTAAGCTTGCACGGTAAGCTTGCAGCAAGGTTGGTGCAAGGTTTCCAAATAACCTTGCTTTGAACCTAAAACAATTTTTTTTAGTGTTTCGTCTAATTTATATAATTTTATTATGTAAATTTTATTATATAAATTAGACGAAACATTTTTTTAAAACATTTAGGTTTAAAGCAAAGGTTTTTTTTGGTTCTTTCGGTAAGTTTACCATGTAAGCTTGGGTCAAGTGGGACATTTGAAGCTTGCCGTGCAAGGTTGGCAATATTGTGCGGCAAGCTTGCCGCAAGGTTGCTGCAAGCTTACGTGCTATTTGGGTAATAAACGTATAACCCAAAATATTTTGCTCCTTAGGTCCGTTTAGTAAATAAATTTTTTCTTCATTTGAACGTTCAGAACTTGAAATATGAACTATTAAACAATTTTTATTTAAAAAAAAAAAAATAATTTTTTTTGTTACAGATATACCGGACATTGTCCAACCCTTAAATTTCGAGTCGGTAAAAGATTTGGAGCGTGTACAGAAGAAATAATGAAAGTAAGTATATAAGTGCAATAATTTTTTGAGATGGTAATTATAAATATTATTATATTCTTTGACAAATATTAATGTCAATAAAGTAAGCAGAGCAGATACAACAGACACGTCGATGAAGTTCATAACCTTTTATGATCAACGAATTTAGAAAAAAGAAAAATCTTTCTGAACACCTATTATTATAATTTTTTGTCTTAAAAATTTTTTGCAACTTTTCTCATTTAACAATTTTTAAAAGAAAAAATTGTAGGTAAAAAATGAATTATTATTTTCCGAAAGGAAAATATATTTTTATGTTTTGGACACCATAAAAATGTTTTTTATTTTAATTTTTTTTCGTTTTTTAAACAAAAATAATGGAATTAAAAGAAAAATTTTACGAGGTCCAGAACATAAAAATCACCCTGTAGATTTTTTTTTTCAATCGTTGGTCATAAACTTTGTAAACTTCACCGACGTAAAATGTTTTGAGAGAAAACCTGCGGAGAAACATGTGGAATCACAACTATCACATGTCCTTAATTTTTAGGGTATTACATAATCTATGTCTGCAGAATCTGCTTTTCTAACTTTGACATTAAATATTAAAAAAATAGTATATAATAAAATTAATAATCAAGAAAAAATGAAGAAAAGTTAAATTAATGCCAAAATTTAAAACAAAATATTATTAACTTTTTTAACATGATATATTTTAAAAGTAATTAAATTTAATTTAATATAAAGTTAATACTTATCAAATTTAATAATTATTATTAAAATAATTAAAATTTATTCTATCTGGTTTAAATTAAATATATAAATTTATGATTATTAAAATAAATATAATAAAATAATTATACAATAAAATAAAAATAAATAATCATCAATAGGGCGAATAGGAATTTAACAATTTATCAGACAAAGTTTTGTGCAAATGGCTCATAATATTAATACAATAATCATTATATATATATATATATATATACAATTAATATTAAATTAAATGAAGGTCAGTGAAGTTCACCTGTACTACGACTATCGAAACTATTTTATTGCAATTTCTGGCACAAAATACACCGAAGAGTAGAAAAAAATTGACAACCCGATTTGAGTAGAGGAAGACCTCTATTACCAACATTTAAGCGCTATTCGTCATAAAATATTTTCAAAAAAATTCAATTTTTCTTAGGCAGAATATTTTTAAGCAATTTCTTGCAAAAAATACACCGAAAAGTGTAGAAAAAAATTGACAACCCGTTACGAGTAGAGGAAGACCTCTATTACCAACATTAAAGCGCTTTTGGTCATAAAATATTTTCAAAAAAATTCAATTTTTCTTAGGCAGACTATTTTATTGCAATTTCTGGCACAAAATACACCTAAAAGAGTAGAAAAAAATTGACAGCCCGATACGAGTAGAGGAAGACCCCTATTACCTACATTAAAGCGCTTTTCGTCATAAAATATTTTCAAAAAAATTCAATTTTTCTTAGGCAGACTATTTTATTGCAATTTCTGGCACAAAATACACAGTAAAGAGTAGAAAAAAATTGACAACCCGATTTGAGTAGAGGAAGACCTCTATTACCAACATTTAAGCGCTTTTCGTCATAAAATATTTTCAAAAAAATTCAATTTTTCTTAGGCGGAATATTTTTAAGCAATTTCTTGCAAAAAATACACCTAAAAGAGTAGAAAAAAATTGACAGCCCGATACGAGTAGAGGAAGACCCCTATTACCTACATTAAAGCGCTTTTTGTCATAAAATATTTTCAAAAAAATTCAATTTTTCTTAGGCGGACTATTTTAAAGCAATTTCTTGCACAAAATACACCTAAAAGTGTAGAAAAAAATTGACAGCCCGATACGAGTAGAGGAAGACCCCTATTACCTACATTAAAGCGCTTTTTGTCATAAAAAATTTTAAAAAAAATTCAATTTTTCTTAGGCAGACTATTTTAATGCAATTTCTTGCAAAAAATACACCGAAAAGTGTAGAAAAAAATTGACAACCCGTTACGAGTAGAGGAAGACCTCTATTACCAACATTAAAGCGTTTTTCGTCATAAAATATTTTCCAAAAAATTCAATTTTTCTTAGGCAGACTATTTTAATGCAATTTCTGGCACAAAATACACTTAAAAGTGTAGAAAAAAATTGACACCCCGATACAAATAGGAGAAAAACCCTATAACCACCCTTAAGGCAACCCCTATGAAGAAAACATTCATAAAAATATCAATTTTTCTTAGACAAACAATTTTATTACAAATTCTCGCACAAAATACACGTAAAAGCGTAGAAAAAACTTGACATATCGAATTTGCAATGTAATTGTGTGTGTAATGAAATCTAAATTTTTTTTGAAAAATGTCAATGTTGGGGATTATACTATGGGTGTTTTTCTAATTAATTTGAGATTGAACTTAAGTTTTTTTGTTAAGTATAATTTTTGTTTAAAGTTTTTTGTAATGTTTTGTTGTGTTTATGCAGTATTTTAGTTTTTAAAATTTCTATGATCGTAATCGATGTGAACTTCACCGACTTTAAAATAAGTGTAGAAATAAATAATAATTTATATTCAAAAAAAGCCAGTGCTTGCACAAAACTTTGTCTGATTCAAGTAAGTAAATGCTGTTTTATCTGCCAGGAACTACTCGAGAAAAATATTTTGAAGACAGGACCTTATAGACCAAATGTTGGTGCAGAGGAAATAATAACTATTCCCAATGAGAAAGACATTAGAAGAGATTGGAAGAATGACGGTCAATATTTTAAAACGACACCATACATCTTAGGGTATACAGGTACAAACATTTTAATTTTTACTACAGTCAAACCTCGCCAAGTGAGACGGAATGAAAAAAAAAGAATATTATCAAGGTCCCACTTAACCAAGTTTTACTGTACACAAATTTAAAAAATAATAAAATCAATATATAATTATTAGTAATAATAAAATAAATATAATAATATTATTAGTAATAATAATAATAATTATTATTATTATGACTCATTATTACAATAAGAAAGTGAATATATTTTTAAAAAATTAAGTACCCAAGAAGCACGTAATATAACCTCAATATCAAGGTAATATTACATGTAAGATTCGTAATATAACGTTGTAATATTACAGTAATCTTATAGTGATCTTAAAATGTCCGCCTCAAGGTAATATTACCAGTAATGTTACTGTAATATTACGCGCTAATATTAAGGTAATATTACAGTAATATTGCAGTAATATTATACCGTAATATTAAGGTAATATTACAAGAGAATATTACAGTAATATTATGGGAACATTTCTTTACGAAAAAAATCTACCCATCCAGGGAATCGAACCCCGAACTCAAAGCACACGAGTCCAGAGTTTTACCAACAAGCCAAATTGACTTATAATATATTTACGTTTTTTATGCTTTATGAATAACTCAAATCAGTCTGTAATATTACTGTAATATTACCGTTAATATTACAGTAATATTACCTTGAGGCGGACATTTTAAGATCACTGTAAGATTACTGTAATATTACAGCGTTATATTACGAATCTCACGTGTAATATTACCTTAATATTGAGGATATATTACGTGCTTCTTGGGTAAGTCAATATTGAATAAAAAATAAAATTTTCTTTTCAGGTTATATTCCTGGTTTCAACAATAAATATGGCTTGCCATTTATGAGGGCTGTTGAGGAAGGTGCTAAAGACTGGCGTGAAACACAAAGTAAATTACGAGCACGAAGGGATTCAATGAGGGCTTACGCGGAAAGAAGAGATCCACGAAATCTTTTATCACGCGTTCGACAGGACAATGTACAAGTTGAGAAAGATCATGGTCATCATCATCATCATCATCACAAAGAAAGAAAATTCTTTGGTAACTCTTTAAAAAGTAATTGACTAACTCATCCTTTATTGTATATGACAATAATAGTACATTGTACAACTAGTGGGGAAAGTGGATGATTTTTCGAGAGTGAAGTTTGCTGCCCGAGCGTAGCGAGTGTAGCAATCACTTGAGAAAAATCATTCTTTCCCACGTGTCGCACACGACGTTTTCTCCAACGCCTCGCGAGGAAATGCATTTTTATAAATTAGTAAGAATTCCACGCGACTTTTTCGGAATTAGATGCTTTTCCTCTTTAAGAGCCCTCGTTTCGTACTTCATGTGGAGTTAAATTATTTATTAAATCACTAATATCGTCATCGATATCAAAGTCCATCTTCTCACAAAAATTAAAACGAAAAATCAGAACAAAACTGTCAACATTATTTTGTAATAAGCAACACTATAGTCGTTTTCGTGAATGTGAGCACACTCAGAGTTAAAACTTTAATCACGCAGTTCATTCAAGTTACGTTAGATGTCGCTAGTAATAAGTTCTTCTATTTATTTTATTTCTTTAAATTACAAAGAAATCTAATCCTACGTGAAGTCAAATCAGATCACTCAGATCAAAGAAAAACTAAAAAAATATTACGATTTACTTTCCCCACGCTCGGCCGAGAAGTTAATTAATGTTCAACTTTCCCAATACTTTTCTAACCAAGAAAGTTGCACTTTCAGAGCAGGCGTTGGAGAAAATTACTTTTTTCATTCGATTTATTTTATTATATATATATTATACGACCACAGTCGTTGCCAACTAGTTTTAAAAAAAATTATCCATATATCTATGCGGAAATGATTTTGAAAATAATCACGAAAAAAAGAATTTTATTAAAATTTGTAATATTGTAAAATATGAATTTAAAGATTGTACATGAAATTCACAATAGAAAATATTTTTAAAAAAAACTTTTTTTTCTGAAATTTATTTCGAATTTGAAATTGTTTTATATTATTTATTTATTTTAAACGAGTTTACAAAAGAGAAAAATAAAAAGATAATAAAAATGAAAATAAAAAAATTTTATTTTTGAATTTTTATTTTTTTAATAGAAATTTTTGAAAATTGATATATAATTAATTGTTTGGAATCATGAAAAATGTACTTAAAAAAAATAACAATTTTAGCAGAATTCTTTTTTTATTTCGCAATATTAGTATCTTGAAAATCATTTCTGCAATAAGTATTTTACAATTTTTTTTTAAAAATTAGTCTACAACTTAGGTCGAAATATAATTAATTTTTAATTTCTTAATTATTAAAGTATAATCAGAGTGACCACTGAAATTTAAAAAAAAAAATACCTCTTATATTTCTTCTCTCTAAATCTGAATAAGTGAAATTTCACTTAAAATGTGTCAAAAGTCTTCCACGTAGAAAAATAAGTGTATATGCACTTTTAAATAAGTGGTTTTCACTCAAAAATAAGTGAAGTTTCACTTATTTTTAAGTGCATATACACTTATTTTTCTACGTGGAAGACTTTTGACACATTTTAAGTGAAATTTCACTTATTCAGATTTAGAGAGTTGGTTTTCGAACGATAAAAAATATTTTCCCCGTCTAAAGTTGAATAAACTTTTAAAAACACAAATTATTTTTTTTTTTTAAATACTTTACACATTAAATATATAATTACAATAGTCACTTTTTTGTAAAAAAAAAGAAAATTAATATAGTATTTTACAATTTTTTAGTAGAAAAACAATTGCATGTAATTATTATTTATTTAAAAAAATTTTTATCTCTTACCTTTGTCAGCAACCGATATATCATATTCTTTTTCGACTATATTATAGATGTGCAGGAAACACACGCAATTTAAAAATATAATCAAAATTAAAATAATATAATCAAAAAACAAAATGAACTTCTAAAAATTTAAGCGACCGCGATTTTAAGAATTGCGAACACTCCTGATACAAAAAATTTACTAAAATAACAAAAACTAATTTCAACACTTATAAAAAAAATTCAAGCACTCTCGAAATCAACTTCAAATGGAAAAAATATATAAAATATACACTACCGTTGACCAAGTGTCTATAAACAGGTCAATAATTCACGAATTGCAAAAAAAAAATTAAACCCTCTAAAGCTTTTTTGATCGTGAATTGAAAAAATTCGAGCACTCCTGAAGGTATTTAGCAGCATGTGATTGTTAGGTCACGTGACCGACGCAATATTAATTTTTTCATCCACTTTTCTTTTCTTAAATGATTTCGGATGAAATTTTGTGGACAAGTCTAAAATATGATAAGAAAGGGCAGTGAGGTGCGAAACTATTGATATTTATTGATAAAACATTGGTAAATTGTTAGAAAAATTGAGGTTAGGAATGACGTCACTGTTGGGATTTTCTAATAAATTCCAATTATTTTAACGATTTTAACAATAATATCAACACTTACACACCTCATTGACCTTCTTTATCTACAAAATATCAACAGAATTAATTAATTTGTTACTTACGAGAAAATTGTCGAAAAAATTAACATTGCTGTGATCACGTGACACGAACCCAACAATCACATGCTGCGTTCTGAACTTCCACGAGCTTCACGCCGCTAACACAAAATATGCCCATGTTTCGTTGATAATAATTAATAACACAAAAACAAATTACCCGCGAAACTCAAAATTAATTATTTTGTTTAAAAAAAAAAAAAATCATTTTGACAATTTGAAAGATACGCAGCACAACACTTGGCAACGTTGCTTCTTGTGGGTTAGGTATAGAAAAAGCGCGAAATTCAAAATTCAAAGATTCATAATAATAAATAATAATTAATAAATATTACTTTAATAATAAATTTATTATTGAAAATTTTGAAAAATGATATTGATAAAGTTAATTTAATAATGTTATAATTTTCTTACACATTTCAGGAAAATGTATAAAAAAAATTATAATATTTAGTAAAATATGTAATAAAAAATTAATTATTAATTTAAATTCTTTTTTATTTTAGTTTTAAATTGAATTAAAATTAAAAATTAAATTTATTGAATTAATTTTAATTGATTAAAATGAAAAAGTAAATTAATTTAATTCATTTTGTAATTTTATTAAATAAAATTAACAAAACCGTCTCAATATCGCAGTAGTTTTTTATTATTATAATAATATCTGTTTACACTATTTTATAAAAATGCAATGAATATTTTTCTTCTTCTTATAATAAAATAATAAATAAGATTCATAGGATAATGAAAGAAAAATATAATTCAAACTCAATGAAATTAGATTATAGACACTGTACATGACAACTTCCCTGAATATATAAAATGCAATAAAAAGTATAATTAAAAAATTTTAATAGCAAGAAATTAATAAAAATTTCTAAACCTCGATTTATTTTTTCCAAAAAATGGAAAACAATTTAAAAATGTAAAAACTTTACAGATGACACGAAACGGAACGGGGGGAATATAAATACAACGTTGCCAAGCGTTACGCTAGTACTACGTGAATAAAATGAAAACTTAAATAGTGATTGTTTTGACTAGCAATGTAGGGAGAGAACCTCCTTAATATTTTTTTTACCACGTGTTTAAAAAAAAAAATCAAGACATGAATTCCAACTGATTGAAATTGCCTTTGCAATTTTTTAATTTTAATGCAAACTGTATAAACACACAAAAAAATTACCAGAAATTTTACTAATTATTATATTATTAAGAGAAATAAATTTTTGATATTGAATAAAATAAATATAATTATAATTCTAGATGAAAATTCTTTTCTCCCGGATTTCAGTGGTCATTGTAATAAATCAAATAAAAAAAAGCAAAACTAAAATTTACCTTCATTTTGAAACATTACTAACATTTTTTTTTTCTAATCGAGAAATTATGCATAAATTACATATTTTTTATTTATTTTTTTTATTATATTTAAAAAATTGACAGGACAAAACCTTTCGTACATTAATGCTTTTTAAAATTAAATTCATTTACAATGAATTAACAATATTATAAATAACGAATTCCATCATTTTTTTTTTTTATTTCTGAAGAATATAATTATTAAAGAACAATTTTTTTTTTGTTATCAGATCATCACGTGTCACCGGAACGACCACCAATTGTCGGATACACGGGACACATTCCAGGGGCAAAGGGTGAGGTATCACTTTCAAAAAGGTATACTCAAGCAGCGAAAAAAGGTTTGGAACTCCTTCAAAAGGAACGCGATGATCGATTCAGCAGAATTAAAGATTCAAATACAATTCAAAGGGTTTTAGACGCTAATTATCTTGACGAAACAGGACACACGAGGGCTTAATAATAATTAGCGAGAAATTTATCATAAAATCTAAATTGAAAAAATAAAAACAAAAAGAATTTCTCTTTACAACTTTTTGATAAAGAAAAAAAAATTGTATATCAGTGCTTTAGTTATCGTCAATTTCATTGAAAATTACTTAAAAATATTTTCTGAAACAAATAAAAATTATGTTTTTTCGATTTTAAATAATTATTTTTATTCAAATAATAAATTATAATAATAATTTTTTTATTGCTTTAAATTCTCAAATTACTTATATGACGATTACTAAAGCAAAGTTGACAAAAAAAAAAACTTGATAATTTCATTTAAAATAAAAAACAATAATTAATTATTTGTTATTTTACGAGTAATTAAAAATAATTATTTCTTTTTATCATAAAATAAAAATTAAAAATAACTCAATTGGATTAAAAAAGAAAAACATCAAAAAAAAAAAAAAAACTCAAAAAGTTGTAAAGAAAAAAAAATATTGAAAGGAATAATAAACCTCCAAGGCTATATAAAAAGTTAAAAAGATCGAGAAAAGAATTACACTCAAATCTCAAAATATGTGCCTATTCCAAATCTTTTCGCAAAATTATGAAAGGATCTGTACATTGATTCCGTCCATATAGTGAAAACTTGAAAATTTCTTTCTTTTTTTTTTTTAAATAACAACAGTTATTATTTGTACTTATATTATTTATTTATAATTATTATTTTTTTACTTATAAATATTAGTTATTATTGTAAATTAGTTATTTTTGTAAATATTAAATATTCAATCACACTGCATCGATTGTAAAAGAACAATCTAAGCCATTATTTTAACTATTCAATGATCTTTTTTTTTTTCTTTTTTTTTTTTTTGAATTTTTAAATAATTATTCTTCAACGAATTTCCAATTGGAAACGTAACGAAGAAAAATGAAATTGTACTTACAATATGTGCTAGTAATTCTTTTCGACATTATCGACAAGAATAATACATAGCCAATGTGTAAAGTAGTAGCTTTAAGAAATATTAATAATTATTATTATTAAAAGCTAGTAATATAATTATGTAAATAAAAATTAAACAAATGAAAAACAAATCATGTAAAGACACAATAAATACTCTTATTCACAATATTTATGTTGACTTTTCATACATTATTTACAAAAAAAAAGTACAAATGCATTAAATTAATAATAATAATAATAATAATAATAAAAAAGATTAAGGCATTTTATACGTCTCTGATTACAAGAAAAATAGAAAAATATAAATAGAAAAAATTTTTGAAAGACATTTTACTAATTTTTTTTTTTTTATTCTGTCAAGCAGAACTATTTAGTGGATAAAATAGATTTGTTTTTTAAATTTTCAAAATTTGTCATTATCACATAGAGGATTACTATAATAATCTAAAATATTATTTAATCAATAAATTTTAATATTAATTACGTATTGGAATCCTGCCAATTCGTTCTGCCTCAAATTCAAAAGTTTTTTTCCATATTTCCAAAGTCAAAGTATTTTTTCCATATGACAATGCCATGAGTCGTGCAAATACCATTAATGTATGTAAATTATCACCTGTAAAAGATTTATTTACCTGTCGCATCTTCACAAAATCCTCTTGTATAATCTGTTGGGAAAAATAGATTTTTTTTTTCAAATCACATTTCAACACCTTCCGTTGATATATAATCGTATCTCAATTTCCCTTTAATATATAATCGTAACTCGAAGCTCAGTTCAATATGATTTTATCGTGAATTTAATTTAATTATATAGGTACTTTATATTTATTTTCATAACCTTATAAAATCTACTTGATAAAATATTCTGAATGAATTTTTTAAATTTTAATATATTGTTATTAACTATAATTTCTTCTTTTGAAATAAAGTTTTTTTTAATTATGTCATTAATCTATTTCAAACAAATTATTAAATTTAATTCTTTTATTTAAATTAACGTAAAGAAATGATGAACAATTTGTTTAGATTTTTAGTTAATTTTAATTCTTCTTCTTATTTTTTATTGAAATACTGAAAAAAAGATTTGAAAAATATTTAATAAAATAAATAAAAATACAATAAAATTTATTAATTTTTTTTTTGCCTATTTATTTAATATTCATTCAATATTTAATATTTAATATTTAATTTTTATTTTACGAAAACTTAAATGAGAATTATAATAATTATTATGTTTAAATTTGAGATACGATTATATTAAATGGAAATTAAGAGACGATTTTATTATTCGGAAAATGAGCTACGTTCATATTAAACTGAGCTCCGAGTTATGATTATATAGTTAATTATATAATAATAATAATTTATTTAAACAAATAAAAATTAATCTAACTTCTCCCTCCATTTAAAATTTCTTTTAAAATTAAAAATTTCTTTCTCATTTAAAATTTAAAACCATTTCCAAAAACGAAAATTTTATTATTTGAAAATGTTAAAATTCAAAATCCATACTTCTGATTGTTTAGAATTATGGAAGAAAACGGTAAAAAAAATTAGAGATGAAAAATTACGTAAATTATGAGGATTGTTTCATTTTTTAAAAATGGAAAAATTTGGAAAAATTTAATAAACCGAATAATTTTTGATCCTAAATAATAGCAGAAAAAAATTTGTCACCTGCCAAGAACGTAAATTTAGATAGATTAAAATTTTACTGATCTCTTTCCTTAAATTAATTAAAGAAAAAACACACAACAGCTCTAACGAAAAATCAATAAACTAATCCTAATAATAAAGTAAGAAATAAATTAATATCTTATAATTTAAAGCATTAATTAATATCTGTAAATTCCATTAATTAAATTTCAATAATTGTCTTACCTTTGTCATTTGATCATTAAACTCAAAGTTTCCATGCCTTAAAATATTCAAATACTGTCTGATATTATTCAATCTAGTTTCATCCTTCAAATATTGTTTAGCTGCCTCAAGCACTTGTGGATAAACATTAACTGATTCTTCGTCAACTTTAAGTGGTACTTGTGTGGCACACTGAAAATAAAAATTTTATTTTCATGTTAAATATAAAACAAAACAAAATGAACAACTAGAAAAAACTTTAATAATAATTTAATTAAACTTATTACTGGTATGAAAGATTTATTCTCGGATAAAATTAAAATTGGAATGTCCGTTTCATAATCCACCATGTAAAATTGAAAATCATAAGAAATTTTCTGAAACTGAACGAGTTTGTTGAGTGTATCATAATTTGTTCTTCCACAAGGTGTAACATGGCCCATTGTTAAACATGTTTCATCAATTACAAGATGTGTATTATCACTTAATTGTAAAACTCCACTTGTCAATCTGTTACATTGATAATCCTTCCTTTAAATAAAGGAAAAAGTAATTTATTAAATAAATTCATTTCTAAAAAATTTATTAATGTAACTAAATAACTATTAATAAATAAAATAAATGAATTAAAAAATAAATTAGTTAAATAATTTACTTAAATATCCAATATAATTGAATAATTTATTTTTAAAAATAAAGAAAATCCCCTTACTTTGGAGTAAAACTCAAATCGTTAAGACTCTCCAGAGTTAATTCTAAGTAATGACTTTTTGGTATTAATTGTGATATAACGCCGTAAAGCTCTTTTGGAAAATTTTTACATTTTTCCAATGGAAATTTAGTTAAATTAATCGGAAAATTACCAAGACAGAGACAATCTTTTCTCATGTATCTGTAACAAAAAAATAAAATTTTAATTTTAAATTCAGTGAAAAAAAAACCTTTTTTTTATAAAGATTATTTGTTAAATATTAATATTTTCAATTTAATATTATTTATAAATAATAATTAAAAGATTTAAAAAATTTGAAGATTATATTTAAAAATCAGAGTAAATTGAAACTAACATTGAAGAAATCAAATGACAAATTAAGTATTCAGCTGCGAGTATGTCATCGAATAAGAGTTTACTCAAAAACATTTGTAAATCGCTTCGAATTAATTCAGCTTTTGACATAATTACTGGATCACGACAAATTGTATTTTTCTTTAATGGTATAACTTTTATTGCATGCAATCGTGGAACCATGGAAACAGGTGGATTATGAGTTTGTATTTCCATATCGTCCATAGATTCATCGACAGCATTAACAGTACACTGAGCTGGATCGAGAGATAAAAAACCAATAATATCAACCACATCATTTAGCTTGTGTGTCTCTTCATTTTCATAAACCTAGAATGAAAAAAACTTTTCAAAATTTGAGTGAAAAAAAAATTTAATATTGAAAAACATTTTTTTCTAAAAAAAAAAATACTGAAGTATTTTTAATTTACTAGAGGACAGGCCTCGGATCAACTTTAAGGCGCAAAAAAGTCGTTTTAGTCGATTTACATTAAAAAAAAAAGTCGAAAAAGTCGATTTTGTTATTTCAATTAAATTTAATAAGTATTTTACATGTGCCTGAAATTCTGAACGTTCAAATGAACAAAATCATTTTTTTGTTGTCTATAAATTATTTGAAAATTACAACAGTAATTAAAAAAATAAAAAAGTACATTAAACATTCAATATTCAAATTTTTTCGTTCATTTGTACGTTTAGAACTTTAGGAACATTATTTTACTTTATATAACTAATGTTATTAGATATTAAATTCATTTTTTTAATTCCTCAATTTTAATTAAGTAGAACAAATTTCTAAAAAAAAAAAATCTCAAATCAATTCAATTTTAAAGTTTTTATTTGAAACTTTTTTTAATAATTGAATTTTTAAAGAAATATTAAAATGAATTAAAAAAATTGAATTTCGAAAGAGTTATAATTGAAATTATTAAATTTCAGAAAGTTTTAGATGGAAAATTTTAAAAATAATTAAATATTTAAAGGTTTTAAATTGAAATTTTTGGTAATTTTATTTGCCAATTTTTTTTGTAAATTGTAAATAATTTTTAAATTTCCTAAAATTTTTAATTGATAAATAGTTTAAGATAATTGAATTTGTGAAGAATTTCAACATTAAAATTATTAAAAATAATTAATTTAGTGAAGAATTTTAGTTAAAAATTTGTTAAATAATTAAAATAAAAAAGATCTAAAGACGATCTGAAGATTTGCATTGTATACTAAAAAACGTATTTTGTTTAACCATTTTTTTAAAAAATGTAAAAAAAAAGAAAGAAAAAGTTGCATTTTATTAAAATAAGTCGAAAAAAGTCGTATAATCCGAGGCCTGAACTTATAAAAAAATTATTTCAAAAAAAATAATTTAATTTTCCACTAAATTAATAATTTTCCTTAATAAAAAAAGGTTTAACTGTTTTAGTTAAAATTTTAAAGGAAAAAATAAATTTTTGTATGTCCGTCAATCGCTTACAATTTTAATTAAAATAAATTATTATAAAATGAACAAACCTTCACGATACAAGCTTTTCCATCTTGATTTGGTATTGGAAAATTTAATAAATGTTCCTTGGACACAATTCTTGATGTTGTTTCGTTATTTTTCGAATTTTCCATTGTACCCTCATCAGTGTCTGATGTTTTTTCTTTCTTTTTAGTTGGTTCTGAACAATCCATTGATTCTTCCTCAACAGTTTCGTGTGTTCTTTTATTTACACTCCTCTCTACACTGGCAATATCAATAATTGGTCCTTTACTATTCGCCCAATTATTTAATCCAGGAATTGATATAACAAAAAAAGGCTGACGCTCCGAGTGTTTGTTTCTCGGCGAATTCATAGAAACTTCCTCATGGGACTAAAAAATATCAAAAAATTTTATGCAATTCTCTAGTCAATGAATTTCTACATTTTTTTTGTAAATTACATTTTACAAAAAAGACAATAAAAATAAAAAAAAATTCATAAAAAGTATTTTAAAAAAACCTGAATTATTAAATAGATAATAAAGTATTTTCAAAATAATATTGAATAGAAAAAAAATATTTAATAAGATAAAAAAAAAAAATTAGTAAAATTATTAAATTAATATTTATTATTAAAAAGAAATTGTGAGCAGCATCATACATGAGATAGACTACGCTTAAAGTATCTCACACCTGTAACTACTCTTTATAATTTACTATTTGCCATTCATCATGTCCGGAACGTCTATAAAAATTCAACGGGACTGATTGATGATTCCCTTCATGGCAATTTGAATCATAGATTTTTTTTTTTTTTTTACGAAAATAAAAATAAAACATTTTTTTTTTTTTGAATAATAATTATTAATAAATTGTTACCGAACATTGTATTAAATCCATAAACATGCCACTTCGAATTGAAGATGCGCCAGTATTTGTGTCTCTAACTTCGAAATTTTCATAATAATATTCTGGATTAAAAATATCTTGAATCATTCCACGAAATTTGACTAGTTGACCTTCTTTAAAATAATCCAAAGATGAACTATTCAAACAAGGAATTTCCTCAAATACATTTAAATTTTCAAGATGCTGCTTGCAATTCAATTGATTTGACATGAAATGTTCTCTGGTCCATTCTTTCACGTTCATTGCTAAAAAAAAAAAAAAAAAACGGTAAACGAGAAAATTAACCCAAATCTTACTTACCTTTGAAATTTGATTTTCTTAAACATGTACAAAATTTATGACAAATAACATTGAGAAGGTAAATACATAATTTAATCAAAATAAATATTGTTATGTAAACATTTACACGTGATGTAGATATAAAAGAACAAAAGATTTTTAAAAATATTATATTCCAAATATGTTTTAATCTCATAGAAAGCCAATTGTCTTTACACTTACTAATTATTATTTATAGAACAATTGTTGTTAAAATAATAATGTCATGTTATTAAAATTATAATTAAATTAATAAAAAATATAAATCAGTAATATAATATACTCACTCATTTTTGGAGGTTATAAAAAATTGAGATTCTTTAATTTTTTATTCAAATCACTGAAAAAGATACACCTGTTTATAAAATACACATTGAAATTGTCTTAAAAACAATTTTAATTAATATAAACAATAATTTTGTTTTGGAATAATATAAATAAATGTTGTACACGACAAAGGATAAAAATGCGTGTAAAAGCGCGCGAACTTGCGTATATATAAATAGTTCCAGTAATACCAATAGAACTTATAAAAAAAAAAGATTGGTATCATTGAAGAAAAAACGCGGATTTTTCAAAATGTAAAATCAATATCTACTAATTACGCTTCATTTTTATAAAAAATACATAATAATAATTAATAATAAATTTATTGAAGTACCTAATTAAATATATAATAATAACAATAATAATAATAATAATAATCTCCATACCCAAATAAATTAACAATCAATTAATGCAAAAAAAAACAAATATTAAAATAAATTTTTAAAAATTGAATTTTTTTTTTAATTTAATGTTTTAGAAAATGCGAATGCGTCCCAAAAATAAAAAAATGTTTACCATATAAAAAACGATTGTTAAATTTTTTCATTTAAATCGTTTCCTCTATTTGTTGAATGCTTGTAATTTTTATTAAAATACATAATATGCAATTTTTAATGGTTCAAAATGTTAACAATTAAATTGTTTACACTCTTGCATTTTTAAATACTTTGAAAAATCTCTAAATTGTTTTTTCATTATTAAAAAATTAATGGATAATATGTAGTTTGAATAATTTTAAAAATATTTAAATATTACACTTTTGTTTCTATTCTTTCTTAATAAGTCTAAAAATAAAAAAAATAAAGATAAATCACAGTCAAAAAATATAATATATATTCTTCACAACATTTTAAATACAAACATTAACATTATATTTTTATTAAACTGTCTTAAAATTATTCTTTTTTTTTTTAATATTATACATTATACAATATTATGCTGAAATGCAAAAATAATACTTTTTGATTTTTTTCACACTTTCCACAAATTTTCTAAATTTAAAATGATATTATGATAGAATATAATATATCACACATATTTTAATATTTACATATAACGAATGTTTTTTTTTCTCTCTCTCTCTCTCTCTGTCTCTTGTACACATTTATATTTCATGTTCGTCTAAATTAATATATTTAAGATCTCTCTTATTTAATTTAACAATTTTTTCATTTAAATCTAAATTATTCGATTCAATAGAAATTTTGTCAACAAAATTTGGTTGCGATAAATAATTATTTGTCACAATAAGAGAATCTTTAATAGCAATCACATTTAATGGATCTTGTTTAATATTTTCATTGATAATTATTTTGTCTTTTTCGCAAATTTTTTTCACATCATTATTGACAATTTTATTTGTCTCATTATTCACTGTATCATGAATATCACGTTTTTCTCTTTCATTATTTTCTAAAATATCTCTACCAACTTCAACTTTCTTTTTATCCGTCAATTTTTCTGTATTATTATAGGTTTTTGTTTGATTATTATTCATTTTCAATGCAATTGGTATTGCGTACTCTTGTAATTTAATTATTTCATTATTTACATTTGTCTCCTTTTTGTAAATTGAATGATTCTTTTGTGAAATATTTTTTTCTTGTTTCACTTCTTTTATTACATTGTTGACTATTTTCTTTGTTAAAGCATTCAAAATATGATCAGAAGATATTTTCTCAGAATCTAATGGAGAATTTTTATTGAGTATTTCATTTTCGATGATAATTGGTTTTACTTGTGTCTTTACTTCAATATCTTTTTTCTCTTCAATTTTTTCAATTTTCTTTTCTGGAATTTTTTCTTTAAACTCCAATTTCTCTTTTTCTTCGAGTTTCTTTTTTTCATTTTCTAATTCTTTTTTATCGAAAATATTTTCCTTTTGTATTGTATTTTTCCTATTAGTTTCGATATTTATTACTTTTATTTCCTCTTCTTTTTCCTTTATTTTATCACTCTTCTTTTCTTGTTCAGAAACTTTTGGAATTTCTTCCTTTTTCTTTTGTAATTCCAATTGTTGTTGTTTAATGTCTTTTAAAATTTCTTTTTGTTCCTTCATCATTTCTCGCTGCTCTTTTTTATATTTCTCTAAAGTTCTTTTTAATTCCTCATGTCTTTGCGCATCATCCAATTGTGATAATTCACCAGCTGCTGCTAATTCTGTTTCTTCTTTTTTTATCGCATCGGAATGAATTAAATTTTCATTTTTTTGCGGTTCAATTATTTTATCCTTCACTTTTGTTAATTTTAAATTTTCTTCTTTTTGAATTTCGGGATTTATTTCTTTTTTGATATTTTCATCAATTTTATACTCGATCTTTGATTCTTTAACAGAATCAATGACTTTATTTGTTTCTGGAATCGAATTTATAACAACATTCTCGTCAATTGGAGATTGAACAACAGATTTTGGAGTTACTATATCCTTAGGCAGAGCGGGAATTGGAATATTTTTAGGAAGATTCCACTCTGGTAGAGCGTTCGAGTCTGAGGAAAAGGGAAAATACGTTAAATTAATTCAAAGAAAATTCTAAAAATATCAGATTAAAAAAAAAGTTACAAAAAGGGATTTATATTGACGACAACCTGACAGAGAAAGAGAGTTGAATACAACAATGAATAAAAAAGAAAGAAATAAAGGAAAAAATACAAAAATTGGATAAGATTACAAAATTAATAGTTCTGATTAAATCAAATTATTATTTTTTTTTTTTTTTGAAATAAATTAGAAAAATTATATATAATAATGTACCTTTGTCATTTGCTAGAAAATTTGGTTTCTTCGGTATTTTCGGAATCACAGGAATATCATCTTTCATTAAATTAAACGGTAAATTGTTCATCTGATCAACAGATTTATCGGTTGTTATTATAATACGTGGATTGAGAGATTCTCCTTTTGCATGTAAATTAACGTATGTGCCCAAAATCATAATTAAAAGTCCAACAAATGCAATTACCTGAAATCAAATTTAATGAAAATTTTTCAAACTTACGCAGAATTGACAGAGAAAGAAACATAAAAATATAGAAAAAAAAAATTGTTACAAAGAAAGTGATAAAATATATAAATAAGTCATTGAATCGACTTAAGGTAGCAAAAAAAAATCGTTTTTGAATTAAAATAATAATGTCAGGATTTAATTCATAATTTTTAAATTATTAGAAACTAAATTTTTTTTTTTTAATAATTTTGTGATTCTCACATAAGGTGAATTTGAAGGAAAAATATTTAAACATAACGAAGAGTTTAAGACGAGAAAAACAAGAAAAAAAAACCTGAGAATTTTAGAAAATTAAAAGAAACTAGAAAATTTAAGGAAATGGTAATTTGAGAAATTTCCAAAAAGAATCTACGGTAATTGTAAACTTTGAACTAGTTTGTAATAAAATTTGTAAATAAATAAAGAAAAATAGGAATATAAGAGAAAAAATGGTTTAAAAACGAAATTATTTTTTAAAAAATTAATAATTATAATTATTACCTGAGCAAGTAGTCTTTCATTTGTATTTTTACTGCTTATTGAAATGAAGAATGTCGCAGGGAAAATAAGACAAATCATAACTCCAATTGTTGCTCCCACTATTCCCAAAACAAATTCAATATTTGGAATTAGTATTCCCATAATTAATGAAATGGACACAATCACAAATGTCAGGAATCTAAATCTCGTTTCTGGCATGTAACTGCTTGAAGAATCATGTAGATATGCCTGAAAAAAAAACATATTTCGTTAATATTGAAAAAAAAATGAAGTTCAATGTAATTACAATTTAAATTAAATACAATAACAATTTTTAAAAAACAACTTTTAATATCAAAAATAAAATTTAAGAAAATTTTATTATATAAAACATATAAGAAAATGATTTATTTACTCGTCGGAAAAGAAGAGAATTCAAACTTGCTCTGCAGGGAAAAATGACTAGCGGAAAACTAAAAGCAACGGAGAAGACAAAAAATAATTTGATCACTTCCGATGAAGGACTTGGTTCAAAACTCATCAAAATATTTCCTGAAAGGAAAAAAAAAAGAGAAAATTAAATAAGTATCATAACAAAAATAGCGAACATTTTTTTTTTTTTTTTTTTACTTACCAGTAAAAGGTTGTGTACAACACGCAATATAACCAAATAATCCCACAGAAATATAAACAATTGTACAAATATTTAAAGCGCCTCTTACAATTTCATTCATTTTCTCTAGTGAAACATTTGGCACAGATTCATAAATTTCAAATAATTGCGTTTGACAAAATAGTGCCATAGAAAAAATTGGCAAACACTGTAAAATACCAGCGGGTCTCCAAAAAAATACATGATCATACCAATCGCCAGCAAAGATATGTTGAGTCGATTCTCCCATTACCTGTTTTAAAAAATTAAAATTTTTAAATAATAACTATAATATATGATTTATTCCACGCCAAAGTGTAAGTCCATCTCCAATTTTTTTGAGATTTTTTTTTCTTTTAGTGCTAATTGAGACTAGCATCCATGAATTTTTTCAAATTTTTTTAGCAAGCCGTTTTCGAGTTATGGAATTTTGAAAATTGGAGAATTTTCATGACTTTTAATTTTTAAATACTCATAACTTCCTTAAAAATGCATCAATTGTAAGAGTCTTTTTTTCAAAATGTGTGTTTTTAAACGTACTTTTCAACAAAAAAAAATCGAAATTTTTTTTTAAACGATATTACTATCAAATTTTTGAGTTTTAATGATAAAAAGTCATTTTTGTCATTTGACGTACTGATCGATTTTTTTCAAAATTTTTTCTAAAAAAACTACTTCTTTTTACGAAACTTTTAAGCCTAGCCCGATAATGGGCAAACAATTTTTACAATATTTTCGGAATTTTTCAAAAATTTTTGAATTTTGAATTTTTTAAAAATATTTTTGGTTTTTTTTATACTTGGTACTTTTATGTATTTTGATGCGCTAATTACGAAAATCATAGTGACAAAACCCAAAAATTTGATTTTTATGATGAAAACCATAAAAAAGTCCAAAAATTTATGGTTTTTTTCGTTTATTGGGTAAAATATACAAAATTAAAAAAAAACTTTCAAACAAAAGTTATAGATCTTATTGAAATATATTTTTTTAATTTTGTATATTTTACCCAATAAACGAAAAAAACCATAAATTTTTGGACTTTTTTATGGTTTTCCCCATAAAAATCAAATTTTTGGGTTTTGACACTATGATTTTCGTAATCAGCGCATCAAATTACATAAAAGTACGTAGTATAAGAAAAAACCAAAAATATTTTTGAAAAATTCCGAAAATATTGTAAAAAAAATTTTGACCCACTTAAATTTAAATTATTAAATGAGGTTATATTTTTTTTCTTGTATCATTTGGGTCCTAAAAACATATAAGGTGGTCAAAAAAAGAAAATTTTAATTTTTTACCTTTTTAGAATTTTTATTTTTTGAAAAAATTAATATTCTTGAAAATCCATGCGAGAGATTCTTAAGAATCATTAAAAAAAGCGTGGAAAAAAATTGGCGATGAAAAATAGTCAAAATTGTAAAAAAAGATAGTTATTAAAAAAATATTAATTTTTTTAAGACTTTAATTTCTAAAATGGTCATAAATTAAAATTTCATTTTTTGGACCATCCTGTATGTTTTTAAGACCCAAATGATGCAAGAAAAAAATAGAACCTCGTTTAATAATGTAAATTAAAGTGGGTCAAAATTGGGGGTGATGCCTCCCCTTAAAAGTTTAAGTAGTAGTTTAAAAGAAAAAAAAAAAAAAAAAAAAAAAAGTAGTTTTTTTGAAAAAAATCGATCAGTACGTCAAATGACAAAAATGACTTTTTATCATTAAAACTCAAAAATTTGATAGTAATATCGTTTAAAAAAAAAAATTCGATTTTTTTTTGTTGAAAAGTACGTTTAAAAACACACATTTTGAAAAAAAGACTCTTACAATTGATGCATTTTTAAGGAAGTTATGAGTATTTAAAAATTAAAAGTCATGAAAATTCTCCAATTTTCAAAATTCCATAACTCGAAAACGGCTTGCTAAAAAAATTTGAAAAAATTCATGGAAGCTAGTCTCAATTAGTACTTAAAGAAAAAAAATCTCAAAAAAATCGAAGATGGACTTACACATTGGCGTGGAATACATCATATACAATTTAAATAAAATTACAAATTTTATTACCTTTAAAACGAGGAAAAAATAAAAAACAATAGTAGCTGTTGAAATACTCGAAAGACTGTCAATATTTCTAAGTAATCCAAGTGGTAAAACAATAAATGTACCAGTTGTAATAAGTAAACTTGTTCGAATATTTTCTGGATTTTTATCAATTACTTTGCCAATAATTGCAGGACCCAAATCGCCGACAACAACAAAAAATGCAATACACGTTCCCAATAGAAAGCCAATAATAAATAATTCAACGAAAAATTTACCCATACGACCAAATGCATGAAATGCAAGAAATTCAAAATTTCTACGCCGTGACATTACGGCTGATTTAAGAAGAAAATGACAAGCGAGCCTCGAAAGAATACTACTCACTAAAAGTAATAATATGGCCAAAATAATACCGCATTGCTTAAAACAAAACGGCATTGCTAAGACACTAACACCAATAGCTCCATTAGCCAGTGTCATAACATGTGAAAGATGAGAAATCATTTTTATTTATTATGCGATAATCAGTCTTCAAATTAGAAAAAACTTTTTTTTTTTTTTTTGTGAGAGAATTATAAAAAAAAGAAATGGAATTCTTATTACTAAGAGATGTATTTGAATTTAGATATGTGTAATGGATTTAAATATCTTAGTTTTATGAAAAAAACAATTTTCCTCATTTTCACGGTTGTTTTCTTCTTTTTTTTTTTCGTGAAAATACAATTTTAAGACACTTGATTTATGATATTTAAAACTAAATATACATATAAAAACACATTTATTTAATTATGCGCGTTATTATTTGACGTCTGTCGCAATTAAAGAAAGTGAGGTTAGAAATATAAAATTCTTCTTCTAATCACAAATTTTCTTAAAATAGAACACTTAATAAGAAATGTCGATAAAAATTATATTGATTTATGCTTTAACTTAAGAACCACATTTATCACTTATCGTTTGAAAGATAATTTGTAATATTTTCCAATAATATATATCACGTATACAAAAGTTGGATGCACTGTTTTGGTTTTTGACGTGCTCACACGCAACATTATTATTATCCAGATTCCGGACTACAATTTTATCCAATCACCATTCTTCGTTATCTGTTGTCGTTTTGTGATTGGTCGACAAAAAGAAAGAACAAAATTTATGTCGAACAACAATTTTGAAAATTCAAAATATTGACTTTTATATAATTATTATTTTTATTATGTTTAAAGAAGAATCGGAGAGTATGAATTTGTGTCTGAAGTTCTGAACTTTCAAATGAATAAAACATTTGTTTTATTACTTTTTCAATTTTAAATTTTATTATAAAATATTGATTTCTGTATCTAAAAAATAAATTAATAATTTTTTAAATGTTTAATACACTTTTTTTTATTTTTAAAATTTAAATTGTTCGTTTTTTTATTAAAAAATTCGAAAATTAGAGTTCGCATTTTTTTGTATTTAAAAAAAAAAATTAACAGTTGTTAATTACCTATTATATAATTAGAAATTACGGAGAAAAATTGAATTTCATAAGTTTTTAATTGAAAAATGTTTACAAATAATTGAATTTTTGAAGAATATTGTAAAAATATTGTAAATTATTATAAAATAATTATATTTCGAAAGAGTTATAGTTGAAATTATTAAATTACAGAAAGTTTAAAAAGGTTTTAAACTGAAATTTTTTGTAATTTTGTTTGCTGATTTTTTTTTTAATTGCAAACAATTGTTAAATTTCATAAAATTTTTAATTCAAAAATAGTTTAAGATAATTGAATTTTTGAATTAAAAAAAAAAAGTCGAAAAAGTCGCATCTTATTAAAATAAGTCGTATTTTCGAAAAAAAAAGTAAAAAAAAAAAAAGTCGTATAATCCGAGGCTTGTGTATTATAATGCCTATAATGAAAATATCATAAATTCTTATATAGTAAATTTTATTATCTTTTATTATAAATATTTAAAAACAGTTGTGATTGATGTATGCAGGGCATAAGTATGCAATGCCTGATTTTTAATTTAATTAAACAATAACTTCACGCATAAATTATTGATTTTTTTTTGTATGCAATAATTCGAACGATTAATGACAGTTAAATTAATAACAATTTCTTATTTCCTTTTTTTTGGACCAATCACTTACACGCCAATGATGATACTAATCCGATTTTATATGTATATTATGACAGCAATTACATAATTATCTTTCTTTCTTTTTTTAATATTCCATTAAATTTTTAAATAAACACTCGTAAGAAAATTAAGACATACATTGAAAACATCAATTTTCAATTTGAGACTTTACACAATTAAGAAAATCGGATTAGTAAAGACGAAAAATGTGTACATAAAGAGTTTAATGTTTACAATATTATTGAAAAATCTACATCTAGTCTCAAAAAATGTTTACTCATTGACAGACTAATTCAAAATCTAACACTTCATTCTTTTTCAATATAGGTACATTAAATTTTTTTTCACATACGAAAAAAAAATCAATGTGCAAACATTTAAAAAAAAAAAATTTGATTATATAATTGCGCGAGATGAAATAATTGTCTTTCATTATATTTACAAAAAAAAAAAATAATTTTTTTTATAAAGTAATGAATCTGTTATATTATTTATCGATTCAGTAAATCGATGATTTGTGTGTATAAAAAAATTGCGCGTCAATACCATATTAATAATGGTTCAGTCATGAGGAAAAAAAAAAAAAGAAAAAAAAAAACAACAACAGATCTGTCAATGAATCTAAACCAATCTAATTCGAATATTATAAATGAAATTTACAATTTTCAAAAAAATAATATTTTTGCATTATACATTTATTAGCAAATCTATATCTGCATTTTATGAAAATTAAAAAAGTCCTACTTCTGTAAATCTAAATATCGTTCCGATTCTTTACAGAACAAACAAACAAAAAAAAAAAAAAAAAAATGAGATCTATTATAGACATAATCTCCCATCATTCTCAAAATTTGACTTTTGCAGTTAGTCAAAAAAAAAACTAATAATTAGATTATGTATCAGACTTCAATTAAATTCACCTATAGGGAAGGAAAGCAAATGATTTCAACATTTGGATTCGAAAATACAAAAAAAAAATGAAAAAAAATCACATAAAAAAAAACATCATCTCTAAAGAACGCGCTCTTGATACTAATTTCTAATTGTTCGATAATAAATAAAAAGAGCATCGTTGGTAATTTTAGTTGTACATGGAGTCAATGTCCCAATGTACATATAATTACGAATCTGACCTCAGTGCGTTGGAAAAATTGTTTAGAAAAATTATCCTCTTTTAGACTGTACAGTAGCATAAAAAGAGAGCAATATTGGTTTCGGAAGTTTTGTAAATGTCATTTTCGAATTTTTTTTTTCGTCAATTCTTCTCTCACTTGCCGCATAACCAGGTACTCTCTTTTTTTTTCTTATATCATTTACGCTTAGGTCGATTCAAAATTAAATAAGAATAGCGTGAGTCACTCGTCGCTTGGGCCATTTATCAGGGATTCGCACCACCATCTTTTTTCGATTCATCATTCGTTGAGTTTGATTTGTCATCTTTTTCGTTTTCTGAAAAAAAAAAAAATTATCATTAAACACTTTTAAAAAAAGGGGGGGATACGATAAGAGTACAATTTTCACTATTAAAATTTTACTTCTTTTACATTTAAAAAAGATAAATATTATATTGAATAAAAATGTAAAAATTACCTTTCGTTTCAGACTTGATGTCATCATCTTTCTTGAGATCATTGTCAACGCCATCTTGACCCTTCTCTAATCTTGGCCTTTTCCTCGAGCCCTTGAAGTTTCGATTATCTCTTCGACCACCTTCTCCTTCATCTTCACTGTCACTGTATTCATTCTCATGTTGTATCCTCTTATCAATGTCTCTCTGTGGTAGCCTTTCGTCGGGATTCACTTTTTCCTCCAATTCCGAGTCATCTATCACTGCACCATCTTCTGGGATCGCTTGCACCTGAACTCCTGGCGCATGTGGTAACATTCTTAAATTCTCGAAAAGTCTTGTTCTGAAAAATCATTATTATTCAATAAATTGCAATAAAATTGGAAAATGACTAAAACAAAAAAAGTAAACTTACTTTATTTTTTCAAGATATTCAGATGTATTTTGATTAGACATATTCGATGGACTAATGTGAAGTTTAAAGTCAGGACCAAAATATTCAAAATAATCGTTGTATGGCAGTTCATTAGCAATTTCCGATCCAAGAGCAACTGAAGTTTCGTAAGTCCAACACCTCGAAACATTTCTAATCGTGTAACCTCCACCGCCAACCATAAGGAATGGAAGATTGTATCTTTTTACAAATTCCACACACTTACCATGACCACGTACAGTCAAATTGAAACATCCTAATCTGTCACCTAATTTAAATAAAAATACCAAATAATCAAAATTTATATTTCAAATTTAAATTTATTTTACAATATACCAATAAATAATTATGGTTTCTTTCATTATTTTGTTTATAGATTGTTTAAACAAAATTATTGTTGTTATTTACTAACTCTTTATGCATTATATATAAAAGTCCGTCCACAAAATCCTGTCCCCCCTACCTAAAATCTAGCCATTTTAACCGATTGGGCTCAAATTTGGTATACATACGTATTTTTGCGAGTAGATTTAAGGTAAATTATAGCGAACACGATTTCATATGTAGATTCCATGAAAAATATATCTAATCCCTTTGAAATTGAATTAGAATTAAAAATTAATATTATTATATTACATATATTGAAATTATATATCTTATATTAAAATATTATTATTTAAATATTTTTTAAATTATCGTGAACGGAACCCTAGGTATGCGACTGTAACTCGTACTTGACAAATTTTTTTTTTCTAAATTTTACAACTTTTTAAATAATTTACTATACAATTTACATAAAAAATTTTAGTTTATTATCCTAAGCACAAAAAGTTGCAAAATTGAGGAAAAAAAAACTGCCAACTTTTATATTTAATGGATAAAGAGTTAGTAAATAGCAACAATAATTTGTTTAAACAAATTTTTTAAAAAAACCTAATTATTTTTTGATAGGTTATTAATAAAAATTACAGTAAAAAATTTCAGGAAAAATGATGACTATTTAAAAGAAATTAATTCCCGTTTTTTAATTTTATGGGGGGGTTTTTTTTTTGTTTCAAATAATTGGGTTTTTTTTTTATAGTAAATTATACAGAAACTACAATAATTTTTATCACTTACCAGTTAGAGAGTCAGCGCCGCATTGCAAAACAACGGCAGAAGGTTGAAAAGTTTCCATAACTTTAGAAATAATCGGTACGAAAATGGATTCGTAACTTTCGTCATCCATTCCATCTCTCAATGGAATATTAACTGCATAATATTTGCCCTGAAAAAATTTTTTTCATTAAATTATATTCATTATTACACATTATCATTACAATAAATATTATTTATATTAATTTTTTTCTTCATTATCTCCAAATAAAATTAATTTTATTTTCTCTATTGAAATTGAGAATTTTTGTTTTATTTTCTTACCTTTCCGGCTCCAATATCGCGAAGATCGCCAGTACCTGGGAAATATTCACCATATTTATGAAAAGAAACAGTCATAACTCTGTCAGTTGTATAAAAGGCTTCTTCGACACCATCGCCATGATGTACGTCAATGTCAATATACAAAACTCTTTGGTGATACTTGAGCAATTCCAAAATGCCAAGTACAATATCATTGACATAACAAAAACCTGAAGCTTCACTTTTTTTTGCATGATGTAAACCACCACCCCAATTAATGCAAATTTCAGAAGCTTGTTTATTTAGTTTCACTGCTGCCGCTACTGAACCACCCGCGGAAAGTTGACAGAATTCATATAAACCGTCAAATACTGGACAATCCTCACCAACATTAACTGCACAAATATTTAAACAATAATCAATTGAAATTTAAATAATTTCAATGTGTAGTTTAAGAGAAGTTTAACAGAATTTCTCTTACTTATTGGCATTTTTTATGATAAATTAAGGCCTCAAATCAACTTTAAGGCGCAAAAAAAATATTTTACTTAACTCTTAAGAATATTGTCAAGAAAATTTATTTCGAATATTTTAGAATAAAAGTAAGTCAAACAAATTGAATTTTAAAAGTTTCTAATTCAAAAATACTTTCAGATAATTTAATTTGTGAAGAATTTCAGTTAAAATTTTTTTCAGTAATCAAAATAAAAGTTCTGATTGCAAAAATTTTTTTAGTCAAAAAATTATAATACTTAGGTAGAATTGAATTTTTTTTTTTTTTTTTTATCTTGCAACACTAAATATTTAGAAATTATTGTTGTCACACACAAAAGTTTATAAATTATTTTTACGGTTACTAAAAACATTGTGATAAAATAACTTTAAAGAATTTATAAAAGAAAAGGAGAATTTAAAGAAAAAATTTAAAATAGAAGTGTTTGAGAAAAAAGATGAGAATTTTAGAAACATAAAAGGAATTATCAAAATTTTAGGAAATAAAGAATCAAAGAATTTGAAAAAAATAGAGAATTTTAGAAATTTTCAAAAAAAAAAAAAATAATAATAATAATAATGAAAATTTGAAGTAAAAATTTAAAAACAATAAAAAATGAAAATTTTAAGAAAATAGACAGCCATTGTAAAAAAAGAAGTTGAAAGAAAAATTAATAAAATTTTATAAATTCCAAGAAAAACGAGAATTTGAAGAGAAAATAGAAAATTTTGTCCCGTTTGTAAAATAAATTAATTCTAAAAACGTCTAGAAAATAGTAGAATATAGAAAAAGAAAAAAACAAAGAAATTGATTGTACGTCAGTGAAGTTCATAACATTTATGATCAATGAGCCGAAAGTTCTGAACGTTCATATGAACGAAATATTTTTTTCAATCTATAAATTATTAAAAATTATGATGACCATGTATAATAAAACAGTAAATTAAACAATTATTAAATTAATAACTTCTTTTTAGATATTTTAAACAATATTTTGTAATAAAATTTGTACTTAAAGAAGTAGCAAAACAAATTTCGTTCATATGAACGTTCAAAACTTTTGGCTCATTATGATCAATGATTGAAAAAAAAAAAATAGAATTTTCATCCGAAAAATAATAAAATTTTTTGCCTACAAAATTATTTTCTTTTAAAAATGGTTGATCGAGAAATGATAAATTTATATCTTAAAAAAATAGAAAATTTAAGAAAATAAGCAATTTTGAAAAAACGAAAAAAAAATTAGAAAGAAAAATTAATAAATTTGTTAAATAAAAAAAAAAAAATGAGAATTTTGTCTTGTTTGTAAAAATAAATAAATTACAAGAATTTATAAAAATTTCAATTTGTTAATAAAATTTCCGATTCAACTTTTTCCCGGGTAATCCTCAGAATATTTAATATATTTTTGTAAATATTAAAAAATATAATATATAATTTTTCACTTAAAACGAAGAAGAATTCAAATGAAATAAAGAACTTACATCTCTGCATTTGTTTATTATATTCTGTCATATTGTCTGGCCTGATTGATCTCAAGAATCTGATGTATTCGTCACTGTGGAACTTGGTCATTTCATCAGCAGTGGCTTTATGTGGACGCTGCAATAATTACACGAATTCAAAATAGCTTTTCTTGAATAATTTTTTTTTTTTATTTAGTGATTTTCAAAAATAATCACAAAACTCACATAAATCTCCATTTTTCGATAAAGACCATAATTTAAAAGTAAATTATGTGTCATCCTTATGCGATGCGGTTTCATGGGATGTCCCTGCCCATAATAATAGTTCCCTATATCGCCTGAAAAAGAAATTATTTCATTACATATTTTATAAAAATTAATTTTTCAAACGTCGGTGAAGTTCACAACGTTTATTATCAACGATTAAGAAGAAAAAATATTTTTCTATGCAAATTATTATTATTTTTGATCTAAAAAATTTTTTACAACGTTTCTTGATCAACAATTATTTGAAACAAAATTTGTAGGCAAAAAATTAGTTATTATTTTTTTTCTTTTTATTTTTGAAGAAATATTAAAATTTTTTAAAAATTAATGAACTTTGGAAGAGTCATTGTTGAAATTTTTAGAAATAATTAAATTTCAAAAGATTTTGTTAAATTTCTGATAATAATGAAATTATATAGAACTGAAAATAATTTATCAAATAATTTTAGATAACATTTTTTTAAAAAAAGTAATTGAATTTTCAAAGATTTACAATTCAGATTTTTGAAATTAATTTAAATTCAAGTGATTTTTAATTGAAATTTTTGGTGATTTCTGTTAATGAAGAATTTATTAGAAATTACAGACAAAAAATTGAATTTAAAAATTTTTCAATTAAAAAAATGATCTCACACAATTGAATTTTCGAAGATTATTATGAAAATCATTTAAAATAATTATGTTTCGGTAGAATTATAGTTGAAATAATTAAATTTTAAAAGGTTTAATATTGACATTTTTGAAAATAATTGAATTCAAGTGATTTTTAATAAGAATTTTTTGATGATTTCTGTTGCTGAAGAATTTATTAAAAATTAAAGACCAAATTGTGTTTAAAAATTTTTTTAATTGAAAAATTCTTTCAGATAATTGAATTTTCAAAGAATATTATAAAAATAATAGAAATAAATTTTTTTAAAGAATTTCGACAAAATCATATCTTTAAAAATTAAGTTTTTTGTTCAAAAAAATGGACAATTAAAAAAACAACATCATTTTCGAATAAAATTTCGATTAATTAACATATAGAAATATATTAAAAAATTGCAATCGAAATTGATTTCCTCTCAAAAAGGAAACAATATTTAAATAGTTTCCACTAAACTGAATAATAAAATTAAAAAAATAAAATACGTTAAAATATTTGTTATATAATCTTAATTTAATGAGATAAGAGTAGTTATATTGATATCATTGTTTATATTTATTTCGCAAACAAAAATTTATTGCTTTATCGGCTAAAAAATTGAAAAAAAGAAAGTCTTTCAAAATCCATTAACTTAAAGAAGATTAAACGTGAATTAAGGCACGTCGCGCAAACTACGGTTGTCTGAATTTTCACTTGAAAAACTTTCATTAATCCAGTCAAAAAATATATTTATCTTATATACAAAAATGCCAACACAATGCAAGTCGCTATATTCAAACAATGTAATTAAAAACAACTTTTTAATGAAATAATTAAAGTAACTTTTTTATCGTATTTAATAAATCGAATATAATTTATGAAAATTAGATAAGTTTTTATAACCTCTAACTAATATTTTCAACTTAAAATGATAATAATTCAACAAAAATATTAAAAACTAAAAATTACATATATAAATACTTTTCAAAAGTGTGGCATTTTTATTAATTTTGTTGAAAATATTCTTAATTATATATCATAAAATAATAATAATAAAAAATTAAATATATTTCTTTAAATCGTTAATTGTTAAAAGATTTTAAAAAACAATATCATTATTCAAGTTAAATTTGTAAAGTATCAAATTATCAAAGATAAGGCAAAAAATTCACAAGTAAACTACAGTCTGAATTTGATTTCGTGGTTCATGACTGACGCTCGGCCATGGTTGGCATTCATAAAATACAGTGTTGCGAAGCTTAACTTGAGAATCTTTAGCCTTAACCATACAAAAATCATCCTCTCAGTTTACAACCACGCTTAACCCAACTTTTTCATAAAATTATTTAAAAAATTTCACTAAAAACATTTTTTCACAAAAGCATATTATTAATTTATAAATAAAAATTTAATTAATAATTAAAAATAATGACATTCTATACAGAAATATGAAAAATATACACACTTTGACAACATATAAGCAATTGAAAATTTTAGCTATAAAATTTTAAAAAATATAAATTTTTTTTTAAACTTACTATCATAATAGTAGCAGACACGTTTTCTGCTATGTGGTTGTATCGACATTTTCACTTTTTCTTTAAATTATTCGATTACACTGGATGTTAAATTAAACTCGCGGTGTTCAACATTAATCAAGAGTCGACCGAACACAGCGCAACGCAGCGCGTCACTTAAGATTATGAGTTAATAACTGCTCATGCGCACATTGATAGTTACTCCTTGCAATTAATGGAAATATTGGTAAATTACCGAAACTTTTAAAACTTTCTCATTTAAGAATTTTAATGCAATTTTTTATCCGGGACGCATGATTTGCACCCAAAATCCATTACATTAAATTGTCAAAGCATCGAGATTTATTACATTGACTCTCGAATACATGGATTCTTCAAAACGTCGACTGACCAAAACATCGACTTGTAAAATTATCGACTCCTCAAAACATCGAATTTCCAACTGGTCGAATTTCAAAATGATCGATTTTTAACAACGTCGATTATTCAATGCATACATTTACCATCACATATCCTTATTAAAACATCGAATTGTTAATTCATTGAATTTCCAAAACATGGAATTTTCATAGCTTTGAATTACCAAAGCATCGACTTGTTATAACGTCAATTTGTCAAAAAATGAATTTTTTAATGCATCGATTTACAAAAACACTGATATTATAAAACGTCGACTCGCAAAAGCATCGACTTTTGTTTACATTGAATTTTTAATACAGCGATTCTCCAAATTATCGACTAACCAAATCAATCATTTGTCAAAATATAGATTTGCTAAAACATTACATTTTCAATACATCAATTTATTAAAACACTGATTTTCTAAAACTTCGACTCGCAAAAACGTCTATTTTTTATTACACTAATTTTTCAAAACATCAATAAATCAAAACATCGACTTTCCAATACACCGATTTTTTAAAACGTCGAATAATCATAGCACCTATTTTTTAATACACAAATTTTTTAAAACATTAATTTATTAAAACATTGAATTTTTAATACAGCGATTCTCCAAATTATCGACTAACCAAATCATCCATTTGTCAAAACATAGATTTGCTAAAACATTACATTTGCAATACATCAATTTAGCAAAACACTGATTTTCTAAAACTTTGACTCGCCAAAGCACTGACTTTTTAATACATTACCTCGTCAAAAGAACGAATTTTCAAATCATCGATTTTCTAATGCACTAACCTGCAAAAGCATCAAATTTCCAATACCTCGACTTCCGAGTACATCGATTTTTTAAAACATTAACCTGTCATAACATCAACTTTTCAATACATCTACTCGTCAATGCATCGAATTGTCAAAGCATAGAATTTTTAATACATAGATATGAAAAAGCATAGACACTTTTTTGCATTGAATATCCATTACATCGAACTTTTTTTTTCACTAGGGTTTACTCTCTATGTTGTTAGTAGGTAAGGTAGATTAAGATTGTGCGGGAAATTTTAAATTAATATAATATTTAATTATATTTATTAATAAATGTTTTTTATAACATTTAGTTATTAAATATTGTAAATTTAATGTTTTCTGTTTTTTTTGGTAATATAAAATCTCTCAATATTAACAAGAAAATGATATTTTTATTGATTTAATAATATATACAAATTATTGTTTTATATGTTTCTCATAGATGTCTCTACTTTACCAGTTTAATGTACTAAAACTGAAATAAATATATTTAGAATTGTATTCCATTGACAAATTGCCTTTCTTTTTTAAAATTATTCTCTTTTAATAATTTCTCCTTATTTTTTATGAAATATATTTGACATTTAAAAACAAACACAAAATATTTAAATAAAAAAATGTTTTTTTTATGAAATTATATTCATAAATTTAAATAAACTATTCAGCTGAAATTATGGACAAAATTTTTTTATCAACCATATATATTTTTTGGTAAACATAAAAAAAAATTTAAGTAAACTTAAACTGTTTTTCATATTATTATTTTTTTTTTAATAATTAATATCTTGTTTTACAAGTTTATATTGTATTCAAATCTTGTAAAATAAAATAATTGTCCTCGGCACTTATAATTTCACTCGTAAAAACTACAATTTTTGAAAATTTTTGAAAATATAAAATATTTCAGATGCAACGAAAGGCTACAGTGATTAAGCAGAATAAACAGGTAAAAGATCAGAGGTTCTCTGGTATATTAGAATAGAGTAGGGCGAGATTACCACATTTTACTCCATTGATGCAAGTTCCGGTCTCTTCGTTATTTCCAAACTACAGCCATTCTATAAGCTATCCTTTCGTAATTTAATTTCATTTGGTAAAAAAAAATGAAACAAACAATATTTGATTTAACAAAAATTTTTAATTACAATATTCTTTATCTTTATTAAATAACTAGCTAAAATATAGCGCGCTAAAGCGCGCGTGTATTTCCTACGTCGTGGAATAATAAATTAATAATAAGTATATTTCTAATTTTCACATTATCATTTATTTATACACAGGGAAAAATTAGTTTGATGTTATATAAATAGTAATTTTTTAGCTGAGGCAGCTTATAATTAGCTAATACAGCAAAACAATTTAGCTAAGTTAATTTTTAAATTTAATAAACATGTAAAACTATTAGTTCGATTTTTAACGGTAACAACAATGAAAACCCCAAGAAAAAAATCCACCGAAAAAGTGATTATGATAAGAAAAACATACATTGAAACCAACAGTGACAATTGGCGGTGTAAATGTTGATAAATCAATTCTAGTATTGCCAACATAACCGCCGCCAATTGAAATGCCGAGAAAAATTGATTATGTTCTGTCAATTATGATTACAATATTTACTGTTTTGTCATTTATATTGTATACCGAAAAGGCAGAGATTGTTGGGATAAAAGATATTATTGACGAATGGATTTTCTTATTGGCGGAATATTAAAAAAAATTTAATAAAATTTAATATTAAAATTAAATTATTAAATATTAAATATTAAATTATTAAAAATTTAATATTAATATCTTAAAATTTTTACTGAAAAATCTTATTTTTTCCCTGTCAATTCAGTAAGATCAATTTTTTTTTTGAATTGACAGGGAAAAAATAAGATTTTTCAGTAAAAATTTTAAAATATTAATATTAAATTTTTAGATATAAATATTTTTGATAAAGTCAAACTTCGATAATTTTTTATAATCTTTAAAATTACAAAAAAAATTAGTTTTGCTAAATGTTTTTTTGTAGGGAATGAATGAATGAATACTGAGATTATTATAGTTAATAATAATAATTAATAAATGAATATATTTTTAGTGTATAATGTTTATGTGAAAAACACCTTTCTAACATCATTTACATTATACGTTTCTCGGCATACTGGACAGCTCCTCAACATTTCGTCATTGTTGACAACGAAGTCATTGCTGTTATAATTGTACGTCAGCCAGCATGCTTCGCAGAAAGGTATATGCCCGCAAGCTAAAATACAATATATTGGTGTTTCAGTCAAACAAGTACAGCATCTTATTGGTATTCCTGTAACATAAAAAAGGCAAGAATTTTTCTTGAAATATGTCTATGTAGGTAAAAATTAAAATTTTGGTGAAATTTCAGTATCTAACTTTTTATTTAAAAGAATTCTTACTTAACCATCCGCTTCTTCAGCATTTAGGAACTCGTAAATTGGATTTATACATATTAAAATCATTTTGTCTATAAATTCTAAAGCTGTTGGTCGATTTTCAGTTTGGAACTTGTTCCATTGTTCTTCAATTAGTGCATTTTTTATTACAGTATGTAATTTTGGATTTCGTGTGATTTGGTGACCGCGTTTCAATGCTCCTAAATCTATTTGCAGACCTTCTTGGAAATTTACTAATAATTCTGAAAACAATATTCACATTATGTTAGATTAATTTCTCATTTTACAAAACAAATTGTTCTAAGTAGCTACTAACAGATGAAAAATAAGATTTTTTTATATGATAGTTGTTCTATTTTTCATCAATTTTTTAATTATAAAATAAAAACAAAACGTAACTACTACGGAAGCATTTTAAAAATGTTAATTAAATTTATAAAGTGATTTTTCTGAAAACCGAAATGAAAGATTTTTAATTTTTTTTCAAATACATTCTCTGATAAAAAAGGAATTATTTTATAAATATAATCTTCTCTCTTATTTTAATTGCAAAAAACACCACTTTCGCATAACAAGGAAAAAATTACTTATTTATAAAAGAATGGATTAGAAAAAATTCAAAAATCTATTATTTCGGTTTTGAGAAAAGTCACTTTTGAGACGCAGGAATATGCACTAATGCTAATTTTTTAGAATTATGTTTTAATCGAATTTTATTTTGTAGAATATTAGTTTAGCATCATAGTAATTTTAAAGAAACTTAATTTTGCAGAAAAATAATTGTACAGAATTTTAATTTTGCTGAATATTCATTTGTTCGAATTTTTATTTTACAAAATAAATTATTAACCTATTATTAATGTTGCCGAACTTTTATTTAGACAAAAATTAATTTGCCAAAAATTCAACTTAATCGAATATAAATTTGTGCGAAACGTTATTTCGTAGAATATTCATTTTGTAGAATAGTAATTAAAAAATTTAATTATATTATTATGCAGAAAGATGATTAAAAAGAATATTAATTTAATATAATATTCTTCTGTTGGAATGTTCATTTTACAGAAAGTGGAAAAGGTCGAAATTCATTATGACAAAAAATAATTTGGTGCGAAGTTTACTCGAGTTTTGAATCAATTACTAAAGTTTCTATTACTATTATAAAAATGCTTTCTTTGTTAAAAGTAAACAATTTATTACTAATGACTTTGAGGTTAAGGTGCTGGAAATTAATTTTTAGGGATTATAGTCTAAAGTTGAAACTTTAGTTTAAGCCCAAAAAAAGGTTATTTGACCTTTCATTTCATCGCTGGGGGTACGCACTCCAATTATTCCCAAATTAATTTTTGCAAATCAAAAATGGATAACAAATTATTTTTAGGTCATGGTGCCAGAAAGGTGCTTTTTAGGGATTGTATTAAAAACATTAAGCTTTAAATTAAACCCAAGTAGAAAGTTCCGCGACCTTTTGTTTTAGTGCTATAGGTACTTAAAGTTTGCCAAAAACGCGATTTCTTGATATTTTAACACCAAAAAAATTTTCTAATTTTATTGGCCTGTGTTATGTGCCTTAATAAATGTCATTTAAAAAAATTAGTGCTTTAATTTTAAAATGAATCAATCATATTTTTGTTAATAACTTTTGATTTGTGAATCTTAAAATTCCCACACAAAATTTTTCTGCCAGGTATTTATTTGGACAAATAAAAATTTTGTAAAATAAAAATTCGGCGTTTAAGGAATTCTGTAAGAGTGTGAATTCAAATAAATAATTCAAATAATTCAGCTAGAAAAGTTTATGAATGAAAAAAATCGAAAAAATGCAAAGTGAAAATACAAATTATTGAGTACGTACTGGTAAAATGCCAAATTTTGGGACGTATTCCAAATTTTTGTTTCAGTTGCTTATGGTACGATTCTAAGCAATTATTTGTTCTGTGTTCGAGACCAAAGCAACTGAAAACCTCGGGAGTAACTTTCCTCAACCACTGCCTTTGAAAGTACTTTGTGTATGATTGAATTTGATTTTTAATATTTAATGGCATTAAATTTAAAATTGTTACATAGGTGCCCCTTACTTCGTTGGCTGGTAATAAAGGTAATGCCATTAATTGGCGAAGGAAATTATATCCTTCGGCAGTGTGAAACAAAATGTTTTCCAGGTAAAGATCTCCAACCTTTCTATATAATGCCTGAAAATTAAAATGACAAACTATTACAAATTTTTAATATTAAAAAAATCTACCTCACTTTTCTTAAGCTTATTCATTTATTTATCCATTAATTTATTCACACGAAATAACCCGGTATGCACAGGGACATAAGTTATATTTGGGACGTCCTTTCAACGGACATAACTATTCTAATGACGCCCTAATGACAACTTATATCCATGTGATGACTAGGAATGTACAGCCCAAACTCTTTATAAACTACTTCTTTCTAAGCTCCAAGGTCAGTTGAATTCTCGACAAATCCCCCACTCTGAGCCGGCAAAAATATAATCAACAACCTCTTTATAAGGTTTCGATAATTCTTAACGTTCGTTCAATAGGAAAATGTCACAGAGCTTATGAAGAGGTTCCAAGCTGCAACACACATTCTCTTTACACACACGTGGTAGTAGAGGCCCCCTACATTTGTTAATTTCTTCCTCTACCATCCTTCGATCAGTTATAAAGAAGTTGAGCATTCGTTTATGGTTATCTTTTTACAGTAGTCTACGTTCAAAAATCAGTGCACGTCGCAAAAATAATTAAATGAATTAAATAATTAAATTAATTAAATTAAAATAATTAAATTTCAAATTTTTCATATTAATTTTACAGAAAATTCAAACGGTTGAAAATCAATTTGACAGAAATAATTCGGTAAGAAGTTAAAAATTAACCAATCACAAATTTTGTGATAATTTCTGATTGGTTAAATTTAAAATTCGTGCCGAATTATTTCTGCCAAATTGATTTTCAACGGTTTAAATTTTCTGTAAAATCAATATTTCACCAGAAGAATATTATGTTAAATTAATATTATTTCTAATCTTCTTTCTGAAAAATTAATATTCTACGAAACAACGTTTCATACAAATTGAGATTCGTTCAAACTGAATTTATGACTTATTAATTTTTTTCTAAATGAAAATTCTATCCCAGTAGAACATAATATTACACGCTTATTTGAAGTACATAAAAATTTCAAAGTTTTTTATGATAAAGCAGAGAAAAAGAATATATAATCAGTCAAATATTTTTAAGTGATTTAAAAATTTTTTTGTAATATTACTGTAATATCACGTGCTACAAGAGCGAAAATAATTAGACCCAAGTAGCACGATATATCAACCAGATGTCACGGTGATATCACCGGGGAATGTCACCGTGACATCAGGAAAATGTCAAAATGTCCGCCTTACGGTGATATCACACGGTGACATCGAGGTGATATCATGGTGACATCAAGGTGATATACACAGTCATATCACGGTGATATCATGGTGATATCACCGTGATATCATGTTGATATTTTACAGGGACTTAAAATTTTTAAAAAATTATTATTTTTTTTTTTTATTATTTTTATTATTTTTTTTATTTATTATTATTTTTTAAATTATTAAAAATTTTAAGTCCCTGTAAAATATCAACATGATATCACCATGATATCACCGTGATATGAATGTGATATCACTGTGATATCACCTTGATGTCACCATGATATCACCTCGATGTCACCGTGTGATATCACCGTAAGGCGGACATTTTGACATTTTCCTGATGTCACGGTGACATTCCCCGGTGATATCACCGTGACATCAGGTTGATATATCGTGCTACTTGGGGAAATACAATTGTTTTTAGAAATATTAAGTTAGGGGTTAAAAATTTTAATTCTGAAAATTCCCTCTATTTTTAAATTCTATTTATAGGACAGAAGTGTATGAGTTTTTATTCCATTTAATTATATTTAAAAAAATGACAAAAATAAGAATCGAACCGAGTTTTTTTGTTACGTTTGTGAAGGTGACTAATCAGCCAGATAAACTTAAAACTATATTTACAAAAAAAAACTTCTTTAATCAAACAGAAAAGGAATTAAATTGGATTGAAAAAAGTTAAAATAACTTCTGAAAACGGAATTAAACTTTGGTTCCACTTTTGGAATAAAAACTTTTCAACTTAACCATTTCGAAATAGAAATAATCAGGATTAAAAATTTACAAAATCTATTCCTTTAAATAGAATACAACTTTTATTTGGAATAGAAATGAATTAAATTTTTCAAAATTCTATCAAGTTTGAGGGTATTGAAAAAGAGGGTATTTTCCGAATGAAATAGAATTAAAATATGTACAATTTTATAGAATATATATATATATATTTTTTTTTTAAATAACAGGCTTTTTACCGGGTACTTTTCCTTATAAATAAATTACCAACCTGTAGTTTCTAACCAAAATATCTGTAAAAATTTACCTGGTTAAAATGGAAAAAGCATCCGTGAATGGAAATTCCATTAAATTTGTTTCTCAATGCTAACTTAAGAGCTGCTTCAAAATCGCACATCGCTTCCATTATATGGAAATTGGGAAATAAAATTTTTAATTCCTCGAAAACAGCTTCATAAGCAGCAGCTGTTCTTTTCTCCATTAATATCCATACAAAAGGAATTGTCTAAACAGATTGAAGTATATAATAAAAACACAAAATATAACCCACTATAAACCTAAGATTCGTAAGCTTACAGTGCAAGATTGTAGTCAGCTTACAGTTAAGCTTACTATTACCTTACTGTAAGCTTCCAATAAACTTTCTATAGGCTTTGTGTAGTTTTAATGGCGATAAGTTTGGAAGTTAACGTTGTTAACTTCCCAGAAGTTTTAAATGTCCTCAGAGTTTAAGTTAACACTTTTAACTTGTTGAAAGTTAGAAAAGTAAATTTGTTGAAAGTTTTCCTTTGTAATTTTACACAAAATTTTAATGGTAAACTTAAAAATCTATTATCATGCGCAGATGTTTTCTATGGCAGCTAGGGCTACGCAATATTTTTTAATTACATTTCCCTATAGACAATTTATGTCAGTTTCTTAAAAAAATTTTTAACACTTTTATTATGATTATTATTAAATTATCAATTATACATTAATTTTAAAGGTATTATTTTCTTCATAATATACTTGTAGTAAGAAAAAACTTTTATATCTTAAACCCGGAAAAAACCGGGAATTTAAAGACTGAAAAATAGTAGACACCTTGGTTAAATATAATTAATTTTCTTAGTTTTATTTAATATTGGTCTTGAATAAATTTACTTACGTGATTATATTTAACTGTCATTAGAGTTAAAAATTGTCCCAATTCCATATTAGGAGGTACAATTTTGAAAGTGGCATCAATAAAAACCATGGTTTGGTTGTCGTAGACTTCGTTTACAAAGTTTTTATCACAAAAAATGGTTGATCTTGAGCCGTCTTCGGCAATAGCAAGGGAGATTTCCAAGTTGCCTCCATTATATTTTGAAATGTCTTTCCACTCGTCGGAATTAGCAACTTCAACAAAATTATTCAGATTGTTGACGGTTGGAGGAGTCACTTTTTTTCTCCATTGAAACATCGTATTCTCTATTTTTGAAAATGGCAGATGTTGAGCTGCATCTGCATGACTACAATACATTTAATTTATATTTATTTACATAAAACTCGGATAGTTAAGGGATGACAAATGTTTATTTTGTTATAAAATCTCAATGAGTAAAACATTCAAGCAGTAAAATATTTGTATTATGTTGATATTTAACTTACTGAAGACGAACTTCGTCGTAAATTTTTCTATATTTATCTGAGCTTGTCGTTACACGATTGTGTAACGCTTGCTTGAAGGCTCTTATTTTAATATCTTTTTTATCCACTAAATGATTGTGCGTATGTGTTACATTAAATACCCCATTTTTTAATACTCCACGTCCTTGGCATTTTTTACTTTTACGGTTAACACAGACATAATATCTGTAAAATATTAATTTCATTAAAAATCATTACAAAACATTATTTTTTATGTAATATGTAAATGTTCAAGTAAATATTTACTTGATAACAGTCAAGTAACAGATCATTTAAATGAAAAAAATTTTCTTTCAGTTTAGTTATTTTGCTCTTTAAAAAGTATATTTTTCTTACTTAAGACTTAAGAATAAGACTTAATTCTTAAGTCCGAATTTTCAAGTCTGATTCTTAAACTTAAGCATTTAAGACTTACGGCCACGAAACCCTAAGATGCAGGCGCTTCGAGCCTGCTTATCGTACTGATTTTTTAATAACTTTTACAATTTTTAATAGAAAATATTTTCGTTTCAAACATATTTCTATCATTGTTTATTGATAATGAAATTATAGAAAATATTTTTTAGCTAAAATATTTTATAATTTTCCATTTTGAAAAATAATTATTTTCTAATGGTTAATCATAAACGTTATAGACTTCAGCATCGTTATTTTCACAAAAGCTAAAAGTGAATTTAATTAATATTTAGTTATATTCAACAAACAAATTAGTAAAAATATTATTATTTAAGTAAATGAATTTTTGTTATCAAAATAGTTATTTTTAAATAATTCAAATTTAAAGTAAAGGTCATAAAATTTTGAAAAATTCCTTTTGGAACCATTGTATTTTATTTTTTTGAATAAATTGAAAATTAATTGGGACGCATGATTAAGCTCTAAAAATTTTTTTTTGAATTATGATTTGTTCGAATATTATTCTGTAAAATATTATAATTTTGCAGAATATTTATTAATTTAAATATTAATGTTTTAGATGATACAAATGGTCAAAAATCAATTTGACAGAAATAATTCGTGGGAAACATTAATATTCGAACAAATAAATATTCTGCAATATTAATATTGTAAAGAATAAAATTCTATAAAGTCATAAATCTAAAAAATTTTGATTAGAGCATAATCATGCTTGATTATGTTGATCCCAATTTATGTGTTTGATGTGACATGACAATTTATACAACTGTCTTTTTTGCAGTTTGTAGTGTTTTCGCTACAAGAAATTTTTTCCGTGCGTTATATACATAATCTTAACTCACGACAACTACTGTTACCACATGTTCACATATACACACACAAACACTTTTTATTTTAAAAAATTATAATTTAAACCAATTTTAATTTATTAAAATTTTCATTCAACATAATTTAATAATTCAAATTGTTTAATGTCAGAATTTTTAAAGTATCGAATCTCCATGTCTCAAAATTTTCATTTACACGAATTTTTATTTGATAGAAATTGCAAATGACCGAAAAAACAAACGTCAGAATGATTTCGGCACAGTTTTTAAAGTAGACCAATCCAGAAGTTATAAAGAAAATTGTGATTGGTCTATTTTAAAATTATGGACGAAATCTTTGTGATGATTGTTTTTTTGTGGTTTGAAACTTTCTCTGAAATAAAAAATAATTTCGGGTTAAAATTTTGGAGAAATGATTCAGTTTGGTACAAGGAATCTCGCTGTTCTACTCATTTAATAGAATTTGACGCAAAAATATTAAAAATAAATCAATAAATAGTAAAATAATGTATTATATCATAGTTCATTCAGTGGCCAATTGCTCTAATTGGCGCTGTTTCCTGGAGCACTAACACACTCAAGCAACGTCTGTGTATGCGCCGCTGTGTTTGTTTTCATTTTCGTTTAAAAATGTAACTTTTAAAACTTCATTTTGTAATAATTGAACGCAAAATTATGTATTTTTCGGAGAACAGCGAGATTCCTTGTACCCAAATTTATCATTCCTCAAAATTTTAGACAAAAATCTTTTTTCATTTTAGAGTAAGATATATACTACCAAAACACATTTTCCCATACTAGATCACGTGGAAGGTTTCCACATCAAGGTTGCTACAATTTTTCTCGAATAAAATTCCCTGACTTTTCCAGGTTTTTCAGGTCTCAAATAATATTTTTCCATACACATTATAAGTCTAATACACAAACACAAACGACAAGAGATCAGCTGTTTAGGGGCCATAATTTAATTACGTAACGCTTTTTCTTTGAAATTTGATCCCCCTTCCCCCCCTCTGTAACAGATTTTTGTATACATTAGCGCCATTTTTTTGCTGTGTGTAACAAATAGCTTGACCCCCCTCCCCAATGAAGCGTTACGTAATTAAAGTATGGTCCCTTATACTTAACGGTCAAAATATTGTATGTACTTTGATTATTTCGCTCGTTTTAGTTTTATCATCTAACGGACGAAATAATATACTCGCCCATTTTCCAGATACATTCTCGATTTTATCTAGGATGGGCGAAATAATCTACTTTTCTTATTCTTATTTCAAAACACTTTTCTTTCGGCGGGCTATTAGCCACTCAGTTTTTAAAATTCATAATAGCGGATCCAATATGGCTGATAAATTTATTAAAAATTCAAGTATTTCACTTGAAATTCATTAGTCAGAGGTTTTTGGGGTTGGCGATTATAAATCTGGTATGAACAATCTTAAAAAACCACAAAGTAATTAGTTTGAAGTGAATTTAATTGTATTGTAAGAAATTAATTTACTATACTAAATTTTAAATTCTTCAAACTAAATTAATAATTCATAAACAGCGTATTTTTCTTATCAAAATCGCCAAAGAGAGCATCCATTTTTTGAACCTCGTGTTTCTTTTATTAGAAATCAGACACCGGATTTCTAATCAGCGACCCTAAAAACGACTGAATAACGAGTTTCAAGTCAACTTAATGATTTTTAATTAGAAAAAATGCGTTGTATTTTGATAATGGCCCAAAAAAAATATGTCGATTATTTTGAAAATTTGACCCGATCTTGAAAAGCAGCTAACGCCATGGAAATCAACGTTCCCAAATTATTTTAATACATTATATGCCCATTTTGTTACAAAAATGTATCTTTCAAGCACATTGTAATTAGTGTTTAAATTCAAATTCTCAGTCGCCAGGAACAATGAAACAATCTAACAATAAGTTATCGGCAGAATGTAAGGTTTTTAATATTATAACAATTATTTTTTGAAACTAAAAAATTGCATATTAAGAAAAACTATTGGTCCAATAGATAAAATATAATAAAAATTATTCTTTAATTCATACTAGTATATTTACTTTTATTATAAAAGTTGTTTTACTATTGAAAATTAGTAAAAGAATTTATTTTCTACCAAAAATAAAAGGACACTACCTATATAATTTCATGTACTATATGTAAGTTAATCAAAAAAACATGTCAACCCCGAAATTGAATATTTGTCAACCATGTATTACAAAATTGAAAAATCTTCACTTTTTATATGTTATGAATATAGGGTCAAACCACTGAAAATCATCTGAGAGTGGTTGCTGACATATTTTTAAAAAAATTTTCTTTTAATATATGTGAAACTAGATGAATTTCTAAGTTCATTGGTCATAATATTACCGTGTAAATTTTATTTCGTTTTAAATTATAATTTATTAAAATTAGGAGGTTCATGACGTGATTTCGTAACCTTAAATGTTGTACTTTTTTTGAATAATTATTTTTCAAAAAACATAATCTATTAGATATATTATTATTTACCAAAAACATAAATTGATTTATTCTACATCAAAAAATGATGGAATTTTTATATAATTATTTTATTTTTAGATATTTATTCGAATTTGAAAATTTGATCAGTAAACAAATTTCACAATTTGTTGAAGCTTGTAACTTTTTTCTGGATGCTTCAAAATATTTGGGGTTTTGCACATATTTTAATATTGATATAATTTATCTGCTATGAAAATTTGATGAGGGTATTTTGCTCCGTTACAGAAATAATGAATTTGAAAAATTTTTACTTAAAAAGGTTAATTGTAAGACTTCAAAGTTTTACCTCTCTTTCTATTCTCATAAAAAAGAAAGAGAGATGTGATATTTTTTGTAACTTCAAGTCTTACAATTAACCTTTTTAAGTAAAAATTTTTCAAATTCATTATTTCTGTAACGGAGCAAAATACCCTCATCAAATTTTCATAGCAGATAAATTATATCAATATTAAAATATGTGCAAAACCCCAAATATTTTGAAGCATCCAGAAAAAAGTTACAAGCTTCAACAAATTGTGAAATTTGTTTACTGATCAAATTTTCAAATTCGAATTAATATCTAAAAATAAAGTAATTATATAAAAATTCCATCATTTTTTGATGTAGAATAAATCAATTTATGTTTTTCGTAAATAATAATATATCTAATAGATTATGTTTTTTGAAAAATAATTATTCAAAAAAAGTACAACATTTAAGGTTACGAAATCACGTCATGAACCTCCTAATTTTAATAAAATTATAATTTAAAACGAAATAAAATTTACACGGTAATATTATGACCAATGAACTTAGAAATTCATCTAGTTTCACATATATTAAAAGAAAATTTTTTTAAAAATACGTCAGCAACCACTCTCAGATGATTTTCAGTGGTTTGACCCTATATAATGAAGTTGTATGATTATTATTTCAATAAAATACTTACGTCTGAGTATCTGTGGAGCTGCGAATGTGATACCGGAAATTATTCCACACGAAGTCGTTGTCCATGTTGTCAGAAGTAACAAAACTATAAAATACTGACTTTCTTCTTCTTCTACTTATTCAAAACGAAGAATTTAAAAATAAATAATATTTAAATATATAAATATACCTCTTCATAAATATTCAACAATTAAAACTTAACAAAAAAAAAAAACAAAAACAACCAAGAAAGTAATAAAACAAAAATTTAAATATTGTTTAACACAGTAAAAATAACTTTTTAAACTGATATATAAATTAAAAGGAGAAAATAATTTTCTCTCAACACAAATGAGAAGAAGGATAAAGCATGTACTATCACTTCGACAGACAAAACGTGAATCAAGTAAAATAAAGAAGTTAGAAACTGACAATACATATCAGGTTGAGCCAAAATCTAGTTCAATGATGGCCTAAGGGCGCCGTCCCATGACAGCGTTAAACGCCGGCGTAAAAACGGAAAGCATGAGAACTAAAGAGATAGGCAGCAGTCCCATGACAGCGTTTTGCATTGCGTTTTGTAACTAAGCCATGAGTGTAAACATAGCAAACATATTTCTGCATCTCTTTTACACTCATGATCTACAGACAAAACGCAATGCAAAATGCTGCCATGGGACTGCAGCCATAGGCCATTTACGAATTGGGATTTTTAGCGCATACTTGATAAAGTTTATATTAGGGAAGTATGCAGTGTCCTTGTTTTTACGTGTGAAAAAAAGGACACTGCATACTTCCCGAGTATACACTTTATCAAAAATGCGCTAAAAATCTCAATTTGGAAACGGCCAAGGTGAAGGCGCTTGTATAGCAGCTTTTACAATATCTCCAAAAAGTAAGTCCAACTCCAAGTGCAAGTTTTTTCTTTATAGGTTGATACAAAAAAACTTGGACATAGACTTGAAGTTGATTCTTAGACCTATTGTAGAAGCTCCTTAAACCTCACCGATCCCGAGTATACTTGCGTCGTGTACATATGTGACTCTCCGCGACAAAAGGTACCTAAGCTCTCAAAATTTTTAGGTTATAGTCATAGTTTTACTTCAACAAAAAGTTCTATTTTAAGGCGCTTGTACACCTCCTCCGATTCTGAGTATTTCAGAGTTTTGACCAATTTTGATTGGCCCTCTTGGAAATTTTCCATTACAAAGCCAATCAAAATTGGTCAAAACTCTGACATACTCAGAAACGGAGGAGGTGTACAAGCGCTTTTAATTAGGCAAAATCAAAAATAGATTTTATTAAATATTTTAGATGTACTAAATACTTATAAACATCAATAGATTGTATAAAGAGTTGACCCTCTTTATGTATTTTCACTTCAAAAATCAAAAATATAACCTAAAAATTTTGGGAGCTTAGGTACCTTTTGTCGCGGAGCGTCACATATAAGGGAGAGTCCAGAATTGAACGTCGATGTATCATTCTGTCTTTGTACCTCCCATTATCTGTCCATAAGGCCGACGAGTCGCTATCAACGCGTCGACGTTCAAAAACCACCTATTCTGAGGCGTTTACGACGTTCTTCAATTTTCTCGCTATAAGCACTATGAGCATAAGTCTATCTTTTTCTATCTAATGGGACTAGAAAAAGATAGACTCATGCTCGTAGTGCAAAAGAGAGAATGTCGTAAACGCCTCTAAACTTTCCCTTACCTCACAAGTTTTATAGGTCCATTCCACAATAGCTAAACGCAAAGTTAAAGCGCACGCAAAGATGACGCGCGCGTTGGTTTGATTGGTTAGAACCAACGCGCGCGTCATCTTTGCGTGCGCTTTAACTTTGCGTTTAGCTATTGTGGAATGGACCATACGTATTTGAGGAGACGCTTGCTTTTCACCGAACTGTCAATACGTCGAGCAGACAAAATGTCGAATGGCAAATTGTCAATTGGACAAAATATTGAATCGCAAATACGTCGAATGGACAAAATATCGAAACGCTAATACGTCAAACAGACGAAATGTCGAAAAGCCAAAACGTCGAAAAGCCAATACGTCGAAACGCCAATACATCGAACAGACAAAATGTCGAAAAGCCAAAATGTTGAATATTTTATTTGGATTGAGTTAATATTAACTCAATCCAATTAAAATATTCGACATTTTGTCTGTTCGACGTATTGGCTTTTCGACGTTTCGACATTTTAGCTTTTCGACATTTTGTCTGTTCGACGTCTTGGCTTTTCGAAATTTTGTCTGTTCGACGCATTAGCGTTCCGATATTTTGTCCATTCGACGTATTTGCGATTCGATATTTTGTCCAATCGACAATTTGCCATTCGACATTTTGTCTGCTCGACGTATTGACAGTTCGGTGAAAAGCAAGCGTCTCGTATTTGAGGTATTTTACATCTCTTGTACTGCGCATGGCTGTTTCCGAAAAGGAATTTTTAGCGCACTTTTGATAAAGTGTATACTCAGGAAATATGCAGTGTCCTTTTTTTCACACGGAAAAACAAGGACACTGCATACTTCCCAAGTATACACTTTATCAAAAGGGCGCTAAAAATCCAAATTCGGAAATGGCCTAGAGCTGCGACTGTGTAGGCGGTTCCAGAATAGGTGCAAAAAGCAAGTGCAAGCTGTGCAAGTACAAGTCCGAATGCAAATCCCATGAGTGCAAGAGAGATAGATAGACTAACTATCTATTTCGCATTCATTAGATTGGCACTTGGACTTGTACTTGCTTTTGCACCTATTCTGGAACCGCCTTTATGGTACGGTCATAGCTTACCTGCATGCGGAAAGATGTGGCAAGGGAGCGGCATGAGTGTGAGCCAGTGGCGCACATTGGTTTTCGGAGAAGGAGAGCGGCGCTAACTTCTTGGGACCCCCCCCCTGCAAAAATTCTGACAAGCAAAAAAAAATTGCATGAAGGCGTAAAGTGTCATTTCCCATGTAACTTACAAATGGTTTCACCCTTTTTCTAAAAACAAAACATTTTGATAATTGTTTAATCAAAGTTAAAAATACGCGTGTTCATGCAATTTTTCAACTCAATATGTTTCAGCTCATTTTTATATGTAAAATTTTAATTTTTTATTTATATTTTTATCCACCCTCTGGACACCACCCACCCTTAGACCAGGGGGAGCGGCCGCTCCCCCTGCTCCAGCCGAGTGTGCGCCACTGGTGTGAGCGGAAAACACTCCTTCATGGCCTAGATACAAAACGCGGCAAGGGGACTGCAGCCTGAGTAAACCTGTATACTGAAACGACATGTCCTATGCAAGTTACTTAAAATGATTCTACAGTAAATCTGAATCTGTGAGTCCCCGACTTGGCTGGACGATTGCATGAGAGATACAAAGATATAAATAGTATTTTGGACAAGCGAATCGACACAAAAAAATTTCATAACTGTGAAAATTCTGAATGTGATTGACTTTATAAAAATTCCATATAAATGAAACTTTTAGTACCGACAATCAGATTTACATACATGTAAGTTTCCGTACTTAGGCCATTTCCTTAGCGAGAGAAACGATTGTTTGTGATTACCATTTCGTTAGTAAGAGTATTTTTGCTAATTTAAATTAGTTAGTACCATTTACTTAGTAAGGTAACTAATTAAATAGTTATTCTAACAAACTAATTAGTTAAACTAACTAATAAAATAGTTATGCCAACAAATAAAAATAGTAACCACACGGAAAGAATTTTGAGACATCTGCTGTGCGGATGCCTCGAGAACTACATGACATGCGCTGTACATTCACATCGCACGTCCCATGTCTCGAAAATGTACGTGTGATGTGCATTTTCGAGACATGAGGCGTGTTTTCTTTGCGCATTTGCTTTGCGCATCGCAAGATCGTCTGCTATAACGTAGTCTATGTCTCGAAAATGCACATCACACGTACATAACTCAAGCACAAACGATGCGTGGTAGGCAGCGCATGTGATGTCTCGAAATTCTTTCCGTGCACAACTAATAAATTAGCAGCGATATAGTTTACTAACTAAAAATGGTCACCTCGAAAATGGTAACCCCAACCAATCTTATCTCTCAGTGCACTTAAGGCCAACGCACAATAACTTCGTGATCGAGTTGCATGAGTTAGAAAAGGATACGTATATATCTCAGTCTTTCTAACTCATTGTTGTTTCACGTTCGCGAAGCTATTCTGCTTAGGCCTTTATAGAAACTCCTTTATATCTATTGAAGAAAGGTATAGTATAAGAGAATAATTTTTTATCAGCGTCTTCATTTACGTCTTCTTCGATTCGCACGAGATAGATAAAGATTAAAAATATGGAGATAGAAGTGTAAGTATATACATAAATATATATATAATTTTTATTTTCAGCCTATTGGCCCAGGAATGAACTTGGTTCAAATTATTACTACTAACATATATTCCTAACATATTAGCATTTATCCTTTTTATGCTCGCGTCACTTCCATATTTTTAATATCTTTAAAATACACTATTTAACATTTTATACCTTATATTATTTTTTGTACTTTATTTTATCAAATCTATTGACTTTAGATATATATACATTTTTTCTTCCATATTCTTTGCTCTGATTCCCTTAACAATATTTTTAGAAACTCTATATCTATTTTACCCTTTTTGTTTATTACAATTTGTATTTTATCAATCGCAGTATTTAAGAATCCCTGTGTCAATTTTTTTGTAACCTCGCATTCCTCCAACAAGTGCGCTCTAATGTACACGGGTTAAACGTTGACACTTTTATTTTTTTACTATCTTGTCTTTCGATATCTTTACATCTTTCCTAAACTTCCAGAGAAGTGTATATATTTATAATTAAACAATATAGGGTATACTAAGATATTGAAGGGCATTATACGCAATCCCAAAAATGCATTATTACATTATTAAAAGAAGAAAGTAAACTCGACTACTTGAGTACATTTTCCCTCTTTCATATAATTTGAATTATATTTTTTCAAAAAAAAATATATATATAAATATATTATATATATTACACACTTAGTAACTATTTTTAATTCTATTAGTAATAATAATTCGCTTACAGTTGTTATCAATTTAATAAAAAATTTACGTTTTTTGAAAGCTCATAACCAAACTTTTCAATTGTGCCATAGATCGTTATTCCGTCGAGCTCTTCAAATATTGTTTTATTAAACATAGCTTAATATGAAGTGGTTTAAATGTACTCATTATTAATATACTAAGTTATTAATTTTATACCGTAGAAAAATGTAACGAGAAAATGTAATTTTTATATCAACATTAAAGATTGATGTTCTTCTTTATGATATTATAGTTTTGCGTTGAAGAACAAACTACTATTTTATATTAAATTAATTAATAAATTAATAATTATTTTTTATAAAGGATATATTACAATTAATATTTTTGGGAATTTTTTTTTAGTCTATTAAATAGGCGTGGTAATGTTTACCAT